AGGCGAAAGGAAAAAGGTTACGTTCTAAAAAGTATTTTGTACTACGACCACCAGTCCATGCTACTGCTGCCGCTATTCACCTATTTATAGAAACATCAATGTCATGAAAACAACAAAAAAATACCTAAATACTGCAATTTTCAGAGGAAATGTGCCTTTTTTGAGCTCGATATGTGATATGGAAAGAGAGAGAGAGAGAGAAAGAGCGAATAAAAGAGGTGGAAGAAATGATACAAAGCCAAGTGAAAAATGCCTATTGTATATATATCTCTCGCACACGTGTGCACTTGTGCCATCTTACTGCCTTTGTATTGCTTGCCACGACGTCTGAGCCCGACTGAAGCTCAATAAGCTAAAACAGTAGCCGTATCAGCATCACGGTTACTGTTGTTACAAACGCGCGCCCGCTAGTGTTTCTATTGGCGTATTTATCATATTCAAATTACACTACACTCAAAATATGTGCGCATTTTTCTCGCATCATTATCTCATTTTGATGTCTTATTAACCTACGTGACACGGATAATGGAGCTTCATCTCTTTCACAACTTTTGGATTTTGTGGCAAATGGGCTTAAGCCTTGGCAAATTTGCCAACTAAATCACATGTTTATCGCAATTCTTATTTAATATACATGAACGTTCTGTACGTCTTTTGTTGAGATGGAAAAGAGAGTCGGTTTTGTATAGAAACGGAGACGAAATACGTCGGAAGGGAGAGGGAGACTCTAGTGAAAAAGTAGCGACAAACGTCGTCGTGGCATGTCGAACTCAACGCAGAAAAAAAGCAGAAAGCACGATTATAAGCAATATCATGCGTTGACAGAGCGATGAGACATTAAGTCGTCAGTTTTCAAAGAGGAACTGATAAAAGTCGTGCACTCCTGTTCTTTATTTTACTTTTGTTTTGACGTTCAAACCTTAAACGACAACGTTTACATACAATCCGCTTAATCGATCCGATAGACATTCGAAACCAAAAACGTCAAAAGCAATGTATTTGATTACGTTAACATTGCAATTTATGATTGCATATTGTCTATGGTCTATGGAGAGAATGAGTGCAAAAAGAAATGGAGCAATTTTTCGAGAGAGAGAGAGAGAGTGAAATTTTCAAAATATGCCCCATTTAATTAAATTCCGGGAAAACTAAATGAGTCAGATGTTTCGAGAGCATCCAACTGAAAGCGCTATTTAATACATGACTAAAATATAGTGTATTTTTGCCTCTTTCCAATGGTTTCGAATTTTCTGCTTTTTGTTCATGAGCCGAACAAAACCTGGATGAACAAAAAAAAAACGTATGTTACGTGGTATTTTCCTCGCTCTGAATATGGGCTCGGTTTCACATAGTCATTATAATTTTCGAGATGAATGCTTTTGCTACAGCCCAAAATCGAATATGACATATTTTACTAAAAGTTATGGGTGGAAAATAATTTCAATCATCATTATCCAATTGATTATTTCGAATGGAAACCATTGATTTTTGCTCTTTACATCTTTGCATCATCACACGTCGAGAGGGATGTCACATATTGTTATAGATGATGAATGGAAATGAATGATTTTCTATGAAAGATTAGAAGAAGCATTCGGTACTATGTTTTTGATTGATGAATCATCTGGTTGTGAAAAGTGAATCTATTTAAATGAAATGTGTTGAAATCTTGGACGAACTCTGGAGATGTAACCTCGGTGTTGTTTTGTTTGATATTTTCACATGTTTATTGTAATAGAAATATCCAGATGGGATTTGAACAACCAATACACATGAGTAAATGTTATTTGTCAGTTGCCTTTCATAACGGGCTGTGATATATTAGAGAAATGACACACTTGGTACATACTTGCACCAACAAATCGTTTTATCTCTCTAACTCTATTTCTCTCTCTCTCTCTCTCTCTCTCTCTCTCTCTCTCTCTTCCTCTATCTATGCGTCACTTGTCTTGTTAACAAAGTGGCCAATTCGTGGTCATAGTTTTTACAATATTTAAGGTCGTCTATTGAAGTTTTCAAGAGAGTCACAGGTTATGCTCCTTTTAGGGATGATGTTCATGTTATACATTAATAATTTGATGTGTGTCTGTGTGGCTTTGAGAGTGTCTCACTTGATGCGACCAAGGTAAAATTTGAGTAGATATATTTTATAAATGCAGTGCGTTGTGTTAAATGGGGACATTTTTTTGTTATTTCAATTGACTTCAGATATGCTGCATACAGCAAATACATAGCTTTGACCTGAAAGCAAATTGACAGGTGCTTGTATTGAAAACATATCTTCTTTTTTTTTACTTCTTTCTATGTAGGCTTTCCAGGGCTGGTGGGATGGTGAACATTATCAAAATATCGAATACAATTCAACGGTAGCTGAGAACAAATAATAAACGGAAACTACATATGTTTATTTGTGTAGCGCAATTTGTGATGATATCCGCCTGCCGATGGCGAGCTGTCAATAGCAGAGCTCGACTCAATTTTGCATTTTCCACAATAATTTAATAAAACTCTTGGGATAATTTTCGCACTATGCCAAATCGATGAGATGCCGAAAATTTTAATATTTTTTCCGATGATGTTAATTGTTTCACTCGTCTTTAGCACAGTTTGATTTCGATTCTGTATTGCACATAACAATCGAATCAATGTCCAAACTATGAAAGTTTTTGAATAATTTATTATCCGGGCAATGGTTGTTGTTGTTGTTGTTGTTTTTTTTTTCTGTTTGGTCACTCACTCGCACGCTCTGACTGAACGTTACAGGACTCAATGTGTGGATTATTTTAAACAATTGACCGTTGATAGATTTACCGATTCGCAATATTTATTTCATTATGAACACTAGAAATTTCATTTATTTTGTATTGTTATTTTAAACAGCTATGACTTTCGTAAATTGATAAAATCGACGCGAAACGCAACGAAAATGAAATTAACTGAGCGATGAACTGACGAGTAATTTCAATTATGTTGTATACAAAATGGCTATTTATTCAAATTGATTCGAACGAAAAATTTCCAGCCAGATTTTCAAGCAAACAATGTGTTTTCAGCACGGCCGATGATAATCGACTGAAATTCTCTAGTATGCCATTGTGTTTTTTTCCCGAGAAAATCCGTGTAAGGGAGCGAGTGAGTCCCGAGCAGGAAAAAAGTTCTTCATAGCCCTAATGTGTGTATACATCTCGCACAGTCGGAGATGGAAAATGTTGAGTCAAGGTTTGAAAATGCGAAAATGTGATAGCGCGACTAAAAAAGCAGCACAAATACATGGATGGCTGGTAAAAGGGTGCTCTCCATACACAGACACAAGTGAGCACACAGCAATGTGTCTACACTGTTGTACGCAATAACACAGCTACCATTTCGTATTGGATGTGTGGACAGGGTGAGAAACATCGAAAGCTTTTGCGTGTTCGTCAAGTGACTGCAAGCGATAAAGCCAAACGTGAATGTCACTCGATGGCAAAATGTGAATATTTCTGGGAAGAGAGTCCTTCAGATTTTCTAATCAGATTTACGTATTCGGATAGGAAGAGAAAGCTGATCGCCCTGTAGAGGACACAGACGCACGCATCCATACACATTTGCACATTTTTTGGGCACGAATACATACGTATCACACACACATACATACACATTCAACCCAACAAATGTACAAGAAAAAAAGACTGAAAAATCAACGATGAAATTTATATATCGTTAGCATATAAACAAGAAAAAGAGACGGTGGAACGCAAGAACTGAAAGAAACGGAAGGAAAGAAGTGGATTAATGGTCTCTTTTACGCACGTATACTTACAAGCTACAGCATTCACCGAATCCCGTCGTCATCGTCGTGGTTGTCAACGATGTCGAGATAGGTGCTGAAGAGAGTGCGTGTTCGTGCTACTAAATTTATGTCAAAAATTTTAGTGTGTACATAAATGGTGTCGTACAGATTAATGACTTATGCTCTCTCTTTAACATATTTTACAGAATTTGTATACATACATTGAGCACACTGTAAATTTTTTACTCTCTCATAAGCGAATTGAGCTATAGCTTGGAAACCACCAAAGTCGAGCAAAAATTACAGATTTTCCAGATGACAAAAACAGAGAATGCTTGAGCCAAAAGCTAGCGACCAAATCGACAGGAGAATTGAACACGAGTAAAATGAGCAGTGAGCGAAAGTATGAAATGAGTTTCATCAATGTATATACATTAATTTCGATTTACGTTTCTGATGGCGCAAACGCTTCACACAGCTTACAAACGTTAAAATCACTTTACACGTTGTAATACAATCTCTAACGTTGTGACATGTATTTCCCATTGCATTAGTATTAAACCCGTATTTTTTCCCTCCTCACTATATACATAGTCAAGTGAATATTCTGATTCAAATAGTGCATATATGCACCAGAGCCTAGGAGTAGTCCTACTTTAACGAATTTCTACTGCATGCACATCAATTTCTTTCTGATATTGACCTCAATATTTTTTTTTCCACGGAAGGCAGCACAGAATCAATACAATTTCTTGAGCTTATCTTTGTTTCACTATCATGTCAAGTCTTGCGAATGAAAAAAATGGAGGTATTGCCAATGCATAAAAAAACTGCATATTATCAACATATAAATTACTTTGGCGCAAGCTTGAATTTTTTTTCCCTTCCCCTTTTTTGACATTTTTAGAATTGGAATGGGAAATGAAGAAGGAAAAAATCACTTTTCGGAATTTGATATGAGAATTTAAACGATTGTCAATCGTTTATAGTTAGAGTCATTGATATAGCAAAAAAAAACCACAGAAAATTTAAATTAATGGCTTAATACTAAGACACAAAACTCTATTCTAAACTATGCCATCAATGTACAATGTATATTAAAAATCCTTCCTTTCTCTTTTGTTGATGAACTGATTTCAGTAACTCCATTTAGCTAAAGAGCATTCAAATTAAAACAGCTGATAGCAACATCAAAAAATAATAATACGAAAACTAATTGTGTACTCACCGGCACAGGACATCGGTAGCATTTTGCAGAGTAGTATTAATGGAAGCAGAAAAGTGATAAACATCTTTCTTAAATCGATGGATAGCGAAGTTAGAGGTGCGAAACCAGTTTCCGACTGGAAGCGTTTTCGCGTAAGACGTTCGCGTATGTTGGATCGTCCGGCGCTCTTTCCCAAATCGCCATCTCGCGTATCGTTCTTATTGTTATTTGTTTTGTTGTTGTGTTTGTCCTTGTTAATATTATTATAATTATTATTAGTTTTTGTTTGATTTATAACGGGTTGATTCGATGAGTATCGCGTAGCTACAGAATCGCATGAACTTAGAGACAGCGGCGACATAGACGATTCGGTTGTTGTTGTTGTTGTTGTTGTTATTGGTATTTGTGAAATTGAGCTTGGTGTTGTTGGTGGTGGCAGTGGTAATAATTGTCTATTCATATGTTGAGCAAATGTCGTTTTCGTTTTAGTTTCAGTGTATGGTGCACTTCCAGTTTGAGCTTGATTCATCAATTGAGACTGTACGAAATGCAAGAGTGTTGCATCTACATTTATTTGGCCACTGCGTGCACATTGCTTAATTTGATTATTATTATTATTGAACGGAGCGCATTTGTTGCGCAAAATCTCTTTGTTGCACCTCATGATGCAGCTGCTATTTAAATGAGACATTGAATCATATAAAAGTAACATATCAATGTCGTCGTTGTCATTGGCTGCAGTTACACAGGCAATATTGAGTTTCATTTTCAACACGTTACAAATTGCTTGAATTGATAATGAAGACAGCGAAGGTGATGACACCAACACATTCTGAATGTCGGACGATTCCGTTATTTCAGTAGCGGCGGCGACGGTGGCGGTGCCAGCAACAATTCGGTACAAACAATCCGATGATTTGAAAAAAAGTCTAGTCTTTGTTTTGTTGTAGTAATACAGTAGCCAAATTTGAAACCACTTGCGCCCTTCAACGTTTCGACAATGTTCGTTTACAACATTCATGAAGTGTCTCGAAGATTGAGCATATTGAAATTTTTCGTAATCATAATAATCGATATCGGTCAATACGGGTGAATTGCTCGAATGCATTGCGTTTACAATAACAACAGCGATAACATTCACATCAATATTGCCGAAACCACCACCGTCCAATACGATTGCACATGTTGTATGAATATCGGATGAACAACGGCATGATACGGAAATGCGGCTATTCGATTGGCAGTGCTTGAGCTGTGACTGTTGTATGGAGACAGCTAACGTGTGCTTTGGACCAGTTGATCGTAGTATTTTTGATGCTTTAAATGCGTTTAAATCGATGCGGTTTAAAAGCAACAACCACGATTTGCTTGATCGTTTCGGCTTAATTGTTCCGGTTAGGCACCCATATTCCTTGAGATACACTGCGTTTAAATGGTATAATACGTGTTTCTGTGTCCAGTCTACGTTGTTTATGTCAATGCTTATTACAACACTAAATTTGCTCTGATTTTTTCTTAATTCGGGTTGCATCCACGCTCCTCGCTGTAATTACAAATGCATTGAGACTTAGTAAATTATGATGAATTTGTTTTGCATTAAAAATGAATTGGTACAACTTACCATGCTGTTCGCTTCATCTGATTATCGCCAATTATTCGATTTGGGCATAGATAAATTACAACCTATTCGGCGAAGCGTTTCGTACGTATACCTGCAAACGAGCAAATTAGTTTATTTTTAATATTTTTTCGTTAGAAAATAGTGTTGCTCCGATTGACAATGGCGGGAAATTGGAAATGATTCTCTTTTTCTCGTTCTTTGGGCAGTGGGTCTCTAGACAGAACATTGCCGCATCATTATGATGTAATGAAGATTAACGCTTTTAAACCAGTTCTATTCTTATCGAATCATTCATTCAGTCGACGGGAATATTTTGTTTAAAAATTTTTCCACACACACACACACACTGTCGTGGCCAATTTCAATTTCACTGCCATTATAAATCGGAGAACGACTTAAGGAGTTGGAAATTTAAAAGCTTGTTTTTGTTGTACGCTCTTTTGGTTCTTCAATCATATGACTTTCAACTCAATTAATGGATCATCATAGTGACCAATGATCGGATATGATGGATGGTGTTTACGTATGGAATATTAGATTTGTTTCACTGATTCGGTGTCAGCCATTGTGTAAATTAGATAATAGGACACATTGTACATGATTGACCCATTAAACCAATTTCAATGAAAACAGCCATTCTGTTTTTCTCTCCCATATCTCTTTCGTTCAACATACCATGCCTACCTAATTCTCGTCATATCAATTTTTCAATTTCCTATTTAAGTGGCTGAAAAACATTCTCTTCATTCATTTGATTTTCAAATGTGTTGAATAGCCCAATATTTTTTATTTCATTTATTGCAACACCAGCCAGCCAACACAACGAATGACGTACGCAAAATGCGCCAATTATTATTTGTGTAATTGGTAAAAATCGGCGACCATAATAGAGCGCACGGTATTGAATGTTGACCATTTGTTTACTGTTCGGTGGTGACGAAAAAAGAAGAATCAAGATGAATAACTTTCAATCAGCGGCTAATGGCATGCGGTGACATTAACCAGCAACAAATTGCTTGTGATGAGTGCGCAAAAAGAAAACCACTGTATGTATACATAATTGACATTATGTAATAAATGGATCAAATCAATTTTCTCCAAACTACCAATAAAATCGAACGAATTCTATACAACGCTCCTATTGATAGTTTTCAATTTGTACACAATGAATAGGAGCCCACTTCTAGTGAACAAACTAGAAAACATTGGCTTTCATTTACAATAGACACCATGGCAAATGTATGCTTCGCTAACATCCTTTGATCTGATGAGTATGGGACTGAAATGAAACTATATGTTTCGGCAATGCATCATTTGGCTTCATCACTTGTTCACACTTTTGTTGGTATGTAATTCACTTGTCAGTATATCAATCAATTGAAATCAAGCGATCGCATTGTGAATCGTCTGTCCACAAACTGGCTTACAAATACCAACGAATCACATTATCAAATGAGAATAAAATGGAATTTTCAGGATTTTTCATCACCTTGATGGATTGTACACAGTCCAAATGGGCACAATGTAAGGGGGATCAGTAAAATATAAATTCCATGGACGGAAGAGTCAATGAAGCCAACATTAATAATCAACCAATTTTATTTTTCAATGTTATTGTCAAAAATGGCATAAGTGTTTGAACACTGCAGAGCGTCTTGTCGTACAATTCCTAGTTTAGTTGTAAAAGCGTTCATTCAACTAAAAGCATATCACACTAATAGCATTGAATGTCAACAATCCTTATTGAATTTACTTAACTCTTCTCTCATGTAGTTGTACATGGATATTTGTTTCGAAATAATGAAATAAGTATTAACGAAAAGGATATTTTAAATGAAAAAAACTAGCAAACTTCAAGAACATAGACTGTTCAAGAGAGAAATCGATGCTTAGATTATCTACTTTTCCGTTTCATAACAGGTTTTTAGAGTACAACAGTGGGTTTTTTCATTTTCTTTCGGTTGACTAACGCCCAAGTTCAATTTGCATCAATCGCATTGTTTTGGACACAAACACATTGTAAAAACTGGTCGAAATTGGTCTGTATTCTTCAAATTACAAGTTTTATTAACTTGCATTGTCTGTTGGTTCAGTAGAAATCGAATGTTTCATAGAGAGAAAATAAAATGACTATAAAGTCAGTGTAACGCTACTGAATCTCTGATGTAAGCATCTTTTTTTCTCTTTCTTCATTTTGTGACCGTCCGTATATATATATATATATATATATATATATGTATAAAGCACTCAAGTTGAAAAGCTTTGAAACTTTCCTTTCATCAAATTTTGGAATTGATCTTTTCCGATTTTTATGTTAAAAATCAAATGTATCACAAAATTTTCACATGATATCGACGAAATAAAGTACGGTTGGCTTTGTTTCTTCAATTGTTTTTTTTTTTCCTCTCTTTGCCTTTTTCTTTCATGAATTTTCGATTTCACGCACAAACACACGCTTCCTCAAACACAAAACGGAGGGAGAGCGAGAGAGTGAGTCGAGGAAAGTCAACAAGACCCCAATTAGAAAATGTACTAAAAACAATAACTAGCTCTTCAAACCTCGACGAAATATTCAATACAAACTCAATGAAATGTTCATTGTTTTTTGTTTCGCTTAAATCACTATTGAATTTTAATTTTAATTTACAAAAAAAATGAAAATCGAATCTCGTGGTGGACAAAATGAGTCAGTTTTTTCCTAAGTTTTAATATTTTATGCCGTGAAACGTCACATGAATCGAGAGCACGTTAAATGAAAAAAATATAGGGAGCGGCTCTAAAGCGCACACTTTTTCCAGTGAAATTCGTACATAGAGATGTGTATCTGTATATCTTTTGCTCCTTTTTTACTATCTCTCCTTTTCTCTCACTCTGTCTCCTTCTCTCTGTCCTTCTCTCTCTCTCTCGTTCGCTGTCTGGCTTACCACATAAATTGCATATTTTGGCAATAAAAATGGTACATAGAATATTGGAGAGCTTTTACCGTGGCAGCGTGTATATGTATAGGGACGTGTGCGTGTGTGGCACTGTGTCGGGACGTTTGATTTTGTCTATATATTGGTTTTGTTTGCGTTAGCGCAAAAGCTGACACAATTTTGTTTGTTCATTGTCGAATCAAAGTGATGCGCAGAACGCCATCTGCAGACGAATGCAAAAGTGTCTCCATTGTGTGCGGCTATACATCAGAATAATGTTCAAAATGGTTAATGAAACTACCGTTTTTTTTTTTTCAATGTAAAATTCATACATTTTTATTCATTTTTTTATCCAGCAAAGTTGGTATAATGGCATTTTTAAAACTGTATACATATATATAAAAAAAAAGAACTAAAATTCGACAGCATTGAAACTTTACGCCTGTCTGTTCACTTATTGCTATTCTTTTTGTCAGTATTGACATATCAAACAGAATGAAAATTAACTCATGACATGACAAAATATACAATTTTGAGATTATTTCGAAACAAATCTTCCACTCATAACGACATAACTGTGTCATTGGTAAAAACTTTATACCTTATTCACTTCATTTTCACCGAGTTGAAAATGGTTGCTAAGTACCTAACTACTTGTATCTTGAACTGTGCCATTTTGATTTTCGAACTGTTTTGAAAAAATGTTCGAATAACGTTCCACCATTTTTTTATAGTGGGCCAAGTGTTTTTTCAATTTGATTTGCTGATCGTTTAGTTCGGCATCGATTTTTCGACTCTGAAATTTACAAACAAACATTGTACCAATGATTAGAATTCTGATATGGTTTTCATTTTGCTTCATTCGAAATTACCTCTTTAAGGATTTCCGAAATTTTCATCGTTTTGACAGCGTCTTCTGGGAATAATTGACTAGCTAATTGGTATATATCTAATACGTATATGTCCTTTACTGGCATCATCGGATCATTTTGATAATCGGAACTGATTTGCACGACTTTATCTTTGAACACAACCTATTCAAAATCAAATAAAAACCACGCATGAAAACTCGTTACAACCAACAATTGAATGGGTTAAATATTAGTCGTACCGAAAATGGTTCAACATTGTTGAAATCGCATAGGCTGGTGCCGCATGTTTCAACACCATCGGTTTTAATGAAGATCCATTCCAGTCGCAAGTGGGCCGGATAAACACCATAAAAACGTTCTCGAACATATGTGTTCATATACGATGAAACGCTGGCCAAATTCTTCTGAAAAGGTTCACTTTCATCGCAGTCGACATCTATCGATTCGGCTAACTGCAGCTTGATACGACCGGGCGCCATCCATTCAATGCTCACCTTACCCAATTGCATATTCGTTGAACAATACATGTATCCTTTGAGGCGAGAATCTGATCCTATAACTAACGGCTCTTTGGCAATCGAATTTATGTGCGGCTCCATACCATCAGGCATATTAATTTGTTGTTCATCGTCACTGATATCAATGGATTCGGTTTTTGTTTCAATCAGTATTGTACCCGTTAAATCTCTTGTGCCCATTTGATCGATTTCGGAGGGGTTGCCCCCTGCTTTTGGCACAGCATCTTGACCAGTTGCCAGTGATTTAACTTCACTAATCTGTGGTTGAGTATTTATTTCATCTTGATCGATGTCGTCGTCAACTTCGTCATTATCGCCATCATCATCATCATCATCATCAAACCCATTGGTCATAAGTGTCACTTCTTCGCCCGATGCAACCGACGATATTTTCAATGGTAATGGATCTGAGTTTTGATTTGAGTTTGGTATCACTTGTAGCTTGGCCAAGTGATTTGAAGGCAATTCAACGACTTTTGTTGGAATGAACACTTTCGACGACATCAAAACCGGCGATGACTCTTTTGATTTGGAAACACCCTCTTTTGGTGCACCTGTCTTCGATCCATTGGTCATTGCAGCTACTGTGAAAAAACCACTACGAACTGGTGGATCAGCGCTGGTCGATGCGCCTTCACCATCATTTGAATTTGGTTTCGAAATAATAAGATCAGATGGTAGATCGTGTTTGGAAAACACTTGATTGATTTTCAGTTGGCTTGAATCGGCTGCTGTTTGTCTCGATTGCGTGGAATCGCCATTGTGCGAGGACGATGGATAGATCCATGAGGCTGTACACATGTTTCAAAATGAATAAAATGCTTGATTTTAGTACTGAGTGAATATTTGAGTATATGAGCAAATTTTTACAGCTTCAATTTGTATTACCTTTCGTTTTTCTCGAAAACTGTTTGCCCACTTGTTTATAATACAATTCCGACAGCCACATATGATTCTCGTGTTTCACGAACAACGCTAGATTCTGTCGATCTGTTTTTCCATATGGTCCGATAAAAATGTGGTTATCATGAGAATTCGATACAAATACTTTTGGATGATTGTCTTTTTGTGACATTTCGATGGCTTTTTCCAATTTCTTCGAGAGATGAATACTGTTTTGGATCCGTTTTGCGCTCAAGAACTTGTGCCATGTTGGGAACCAAACATGCGTAAAATTATCACCAAGAGTAATCATGAGCAATCGCTGCGATGAGTCGACTGGTATGGGCAACGATAGCTTCATGGAAGCATTTTCGAAATATGATTTTGTTTGTTTTTTATCTTTCTGCGGTGTTCCGTACACTTCATCATCATCGTTCTTATTGTTTTGTGGTGTGATGTTCGGTGCATTTGGGGGTGAATCGCACTCAATTGAAGGTATTGACGCACTAAGTGTTCCACCATTTGCCTCAGGACTAGCGTTCGGTTCTGCATTTCCCAGAGCTGGTCGAGTTTTTGGGATTTCACGAGTTGTCAGTAGCTGGTAGAGTGCATTTATTTTCCGGCCAAGCAGTGGATTTTGATCAGGCGTTGGTTTCACACGGAGCTCATCGTCCATATATTTTAGATCACTGTGAAGTACGCCACAAATTCGCCAAAAATTCGTAACGCGCAACAGAAGCGTTCCTATTTCAATGGAAAAATCGAAAGTGGTTCGATTTAAATCGAATTGCAATTGACTTTTAGGATTTTTTTTTTTCAAATATTCCGCCAATCATATTGATTGAGAACGCTAAATGCAATTGAGAAAAAGAAAACATACCTAAATACTTAGTTTTATCCGTTTGATACTCATTTCGCAGTAATTTGGCGATCAATGGTAAAGCATTGACATCTTCGGCATAGTTGATATTGGTGGTGCAGATGAAATTATCGCTTTTTGGTTTCTGGTGTGTGGTTGTGAGTACCAACAGTCGAATATCATTTTTAAGTTTAACATCCCAAATAAAGACTTCATGTGATTTGAATGCCTGCAGCATTCGATCCCACGAAACAATTGACAATTTATTCGGTGTAGGATTCAATGACAGTCGTCCTCGTTGCTGTAGTGCAGTTAATCGGTGCATTGTGTCGGTGATGAAATGGTTGAGTCGTTGAAGAGATTCAGTCGATGGTTTACCTAGCGTTGTAATGTGTCCATTGGTAAGTGCATTCGATTTGGCCTGTGATACTAATCTACCGTTTTCCATTGATTTCGTAAGCATATTTTGAGCTTGATTATACTTCCGGCACATCATTATGCGTTCGTTCAGTAAATCAATTTTTTGATCTTCTGCAAACATGCATTCGTTGCGTAACATTTTCAACTCTTGTGCAGTTCTGCGCGGTCGCTTCTTCCAATTGAATTGGTTCGTTCGGGCTGATGATTGGCTATATTCACTTAGATCTTCCATTTCTGGAATGATAACCGTTTTACGATTCTTTTCTAATGGTTCATCGGAGATAGAATTATTATCACGTTCGAATGTGTACTGTCTCTTTCGCGGCGAGACAACATCCCATCCGCCAGGTCCAACTATGTCATTCTTTTTGTTTGCAAAATTGAACACACGGCCTCTTTGTGCTCTGCCTTTGCAATGGCATTTGTACAGACAATGAACCAAACAAAATGGCTGAACCTCAAGCTCGGGCAGTGGTTTAACTTCGACTCGTACGTGCTGAAGTGATTTCAACAAAATGTGTCGTTGACGATCTGCTGTCGAACGGATTTCCACGGCCTTTTCTGCGGGTCGTCTTCGCTTCGATTTGAAAATCATCTCCGTTTCAGTATCTTCCAGATATGTTTCATCATTTGTGAATCGTTTCGGTTTTTTTGAACTGCGTTTGGTGGCGGTCGAAGAATTTGGCAGCACGAACATATCATTCTCTGACACAATAATCGTCGACTTGAATTCTTTCTCCTCTTTAGCCAAACAAGCATTGGCCCGGGCTTGCAGTAAATCTAGACTATTGTTCAAGTAAAACGGATTTCCTTGCTTGAATGGCGTCTGAAGAAAAAAACAATGCAAAAACAAAAATCATATTAAACATACGACAACATAATTGATAAAGAACTCGGTAAATTGTCCATAAATCAAGTAAATGAAACATTTGTGCCGTATTGTTTTTGTATTTACGCTCAGTGCTATACAAAGAAAATTTTGCAGTGCTGCCACTACAGAAAAACTATACGTGACAGCTGATTCATTTGTTCAACACATGCCGACTGATACGAATTATAAAATTGACAAGTTGAATTTTCAAGCAATTGACTCACATTAACACAAAAACATTCGAACATGCATTCGGGCCGTTGACAATGGGTTTGAATGTATTTCGCAGTATCAATACTAGCACATATGCATCCAAATTTACAGAATGGCTTCTGGCAAATTTCGTCAGCCTTCTTGCTCTTTGCCATTTCGTCGGCCGTATCAATAACGGTCACATTCAATCGTTTCAATTCCTTTCTATAATGAAGTAAAATAGAAGCATTAGCGGTTAACTCATTTCAGTGAAAAGAAAATGGCGACTAAAAGCCAAACCACAAAATGCTTACATCAATTTATTTTTCGATGTTTTTTCAGTTTTGGCATTTAGTTTGTCTTTTTCAGCTTTGCTAGCGGCTTTGGCAGACTCTTTCAATGTACTGACTGATATAACTTTGCCGATATAATCGATGTCTGGATCTTGTTTGATGAAATTCATGTCGTTGACTGCAATTGCGATTGATTCAATCATATTTGTTAAAATTTCGGCACACTCAACTGAAATCGCATCATTTAGATCCACGTGTTTGGCAAACGACAGTTGATTTGTATCCTCATCCTGATAGAATGATTCGATATGCTCGTTCACCGTATCATTTTTATTGAAAACTATTGAAGATCGACGCCGTTTTCTGATTAATATTTTCTTTTCGTTATTTTCATATGGAATTGTGAAAATGATCGGTTCTGGTCGTTCAATTTCTGGTTTTTTGTATTTTCGTCGGTGTTTCGTTTGCTTGGGCGCTTCTCGTACCACAGACACAGCGAATTTAGCCCATTCCGGCGTGATCACATTCGAATTAGTTGGAATGGTTTTGAGAAGGGGTTTGATATGATCAGACAGTGGTAAGCCAACTTGTGGCCAAACCTCTAATTGAACAGTCGGTAACGGTACTAGCTCCAATGGTCCATATTCCAAATCGAATGACGATTTTCGATTTGATTTGCATTTCAATTTTTTAGATTTTGGACCCGGTGTCAAATATTCTCGCGAAAACATACACAGTCTTGATTTTTTCAGTAGGCCAAATTTCTCTTTTGTTTGTGATGGATCGTCATTTCGTATGTTGGTATCACCGATAACGGCTTCGATATTATTGATTTTAATGCCGCCAATCGGCGGACATTTCTGTGGACATTCACTTAAAATGTGTTTCAAAGAACGATTGGCAAGTAGTTTTTTATCATCAAATTTCAATTCAAACGCCACTTTCTTTGGATTGTCACCACGACTGCCGGTTAATTTGATCTCTTCGCCTTCGTACACTATTGTACGGTAGAAAAATCGATTGTTAGGAGTTGATATCCAACATGCCGCTCGCCAACAGTCACGTGTGAATGGTATTTCTGCATCCTGGATACTTCGCACCAGAGCATTATCATAGCTAGATCCCTGTCGGACGCGTTTCTTTAACTCATGATACACCGTTGATTCATTTTCAATTATCAGAATACCAATATCGTTTTGTTGTTGCAAAATCATTCGCTTTTCGGCCAAGGTACGTGGACGCTGCATATCATTTGGTCGTGCCGGAACCGACAAATTTGGTGGTTGAGCATCGGTTGTCATGAGCGCTTCGTCGGGAATGGAACGTTTGGGTGTGAATGTTATTTGATCATTGCTTTTCTCGAGTAAATTCTCTTTCATAAACGAATCCAAGAATTCACTAACAAACGCAGCCTGATTATTCGAAGCGGGCACCTTTGGCGTAGGTAAAAGTGCTGAAACGTCAACATTTTTATTTAAAATATCAAACCCAAGAAATTCCATTGATACGGAAGTCGCCGATTGGTTTGAATCATCTTGATTCGAATCGAGCGATGCATACAACAAACTGTCATTGGTCTCATCTCGTTTTGTTCGTTTCGCTGGTGTTGATGTATTTGCGGCTGGTGAATTTGTCCCTCTAGTTTTCGAACGCGTCGACATATTGCTATTTATTGATTGAAACTTATTGAACAATGAATTTATCATGCCACCGATTGCCTTTGATTTTTTCGATTCTTCTTTTTCATTGCTCTTCTTTGCGGCATCTGCGTCGTCACTCTCCTTTGGACTGCTGTCAAAGGATTCAGTCGACGATTTTGCGCTAACATTGTTTGTGCTTCGTCTCAAACTCATACTATTTGTGGCAGACTCATCAGAAACATTCGAATTAGAGCGTCGAAACGATGAGATTGTACCACGTGTGCATGTGGCAGGGCGAGTCTCTTTCATTGAAAACAGAGGATTGTCACCTTTGCCCATTTTCAATAGTTTTAGTTGCTGCCGAATCTTCTCATTGATGTCGCCACCTATGGCATGAATTCAGTTTAAGAACATTATTTTGTTTTCTAGTTATTTATAGTTTAAACCCATAAAACAGAATATACACGCAAATTATACTTTGTTTTAAAGTCAACATAAAATCTGTACTATGGGCCAAAATAGAGCGCCATCGCATTCATTTAACATACATTGTGTATCACCTGAAGACTTTGATGATTGCTCTTGGGATTCTTCATCAACACAATTAACACGTTCACTATCACGACTACTTTCTAAAGCTGCACTTATTTCACTTGAGTCATCTTCCTCCTCAGCATCTCGGTTTGTACCTGAAGAGAGAGAGTTGGAATGAAAAATTGATCAACACCTTATATTATTTTGAAAGAATGGAAATTCAAAAATAAACATCATATTATTGATAGCAAAGCGTCAAATTTTCCCCAATGAATTAACTCACTTTCAGTTGGTTGTTTTTCATCGGTTTCACCTTCAGTAATTAAAGCGGCTACTTCTTGAATATCCAAATCCCAAATATTATCGACAATTTCATCGCTTGAAATGATTTTGTCTTTGTTCGCCTCAACATCGTTGGCGTTTGGTTTGTTCGGTGCTTCCGTGCCATTTTTACGTGCCTCCGCCGGCTTCGAAATAATTTCGATCACATCATCATTGCTATTTTCGTTCGAGTCTGTATCGATGTCAGTGACGACTAGGTGAGGTGCAGTCGAAGTATCGGCAGTCGGCCCAGTTGTTTTTGGCTTTGTATCTTTTGATGGAGTACTAGACTTTTGACGACGAGCCTTTTTCCGTTTCTTTTTCTGCTCTCTGCGTTGCTTTCTTCGGCCATATTTCGTTAATAAAACATTACCGTAGAATCTCCATGTAACTGGTCGACGTTTTTTCGCATAGCCACCCTTTGTGAGGATTTTATTGAAGAGCACCGTCAAAATGTGACTGTTCAATTTTTTGTACGTCGGCAAAAAATGGACGATTGCAAATCGGCGCTTCGTAAAATATTTCGCATAGTATTTTATCAAATTTTGAAAGCCGGGTCCCAAGTAGTTGGACGTAATTTTAAATGGTTTCACAGCCGTATTAATTATAGCACGTTGTTTATTCGAAATCCGCATCATTTTGGTTCCTCTTTTATATGCGTTCACAAAATGGTTTATATTCATGCAGCCTTTAATGGAGACAGAAAAAGAGAAAGAAACACAAATTCAAATGAAATGGAACACCATCTTCGTACGATATATATGTATATATAACACAAGTGAAAGCGAGATAGAAATAACCAAAACAAATATAAAATATTGATTTGAATCGCATAATCGAACGAAAAAAATAAACATTTTTAAATGGCTTTGTATATTTTGCTGCGTTTCATTTCACACTTTAATTCGTCTTTCTCATTCACATCTAATAATCAAGCATGTACACACATATATTGATAATGAGCAACTGTTTTATAATAAAAATAAAATATCAATGAACTCACGTCAACATTGTCAATATCATTAATTGCATTTATTCGTACAAAAAACGAAACACATTTTATTTTCTTAATTAAAATTAGGCTAAATTTTCGAAATATACTTTTCTTTTCCTTAAAGAATACGATGTATGGTCAATGAAAACATCACTTGAACTTTTTTTTCGCCTTTACTATGTATACAATTCAATACTCTCAGTGTATGACAGTTCAACGCGCAAAAACCAAGTGGAGCGCCATATTGAAATCAATGGAAGTTGGAAATGTCAAAGAACTTGTCAGTGTTGATCAGTGCTATGCTCTATGTCTGTCTGTTTGTATCGCCATATTCGCCATACAACAGAGAATTTTTCGAATGCGGACGAAACATATTGCAGGAATATTATCGTGTAATTTGACACATTGAAAAGAATGAAATGAGAAATTTGACAAACAATTTTTAATGCATGAATCACAATTTTCCAGATAATTTCTGTGGTGATAATTATGTCATTTCTTCCGAATTTTTTTTTTTTTTCAATTTCAGTTATCTTGTTTATTTTTCGTCGGAAAAAAGGTATTTTCTATTTATTTGCTCGTTGATCATCATGTTTCATAATCGATTTGTCGAATGAATGTTCGAGAAATGAACCGAAATTGTAGACGTTGCAAATCGTATTTCGTTGCAAGAACTAAATTTGAAAAAAACCTGACCCAGTTATTCTTCAATTTTGATGCATGAAATGAATTGTTTGGAGAAATTCTAAACTTTTGCTATTTCATATTAAGCAAAATTAATGACCAATAAGAAAATTGAAGACCGTGAAAAATGTCGAATATCTATTAGAAGTCCATTATTAGGGTAAATACCGCCCAAAAAACAGGGCAAGTTGAATAAGGGACGAGTGAAATAACTCATAAAAAAACTGTGTGAATAGATGGAACTAAAGGGCCTCTTTCTTCAGGCCTATTCTAAAATGGTTGATTTTTACCCTAAAACGCATTTACTCAACAACAATGAAAATGCTGAAAAATAAATGTTTGACTTTTGAAGCGTTCATAAAAATACCAAACTATTGCAAATTGAATATAAAAACTCTTGGGCTTTTTTTGTACTTACGCAAATGAAATCTGTTTAGAATATGCTGGTCACAAAATGTCGATCCGATGCCGTAGAAATAAAATGGCGACACAACTTGGTACTAAATGAATGAGGGTGTTCAATCGTGGTGTAATTTGCGCTGAAGACACATATTCTACCAATTTTGGAAGTCCTATGATTTTTACGTAAAAATCTCTGATCACTTTATTGCCAATGCCAATGATTCGATTCACTCAATTCTTATCTTGACCAATACTACTTGGTATTTTGTGATTATTTCTCAAGCTAATCCAATTTTACTGTGTGAAGCAATTCATGGGCGACTAATACCAGATTTTGAATGACATCACACTTATTCCGACATCCTATTTAAGTTTCTTTCCGTATGTGCGCACATCACAATAGCATCGTCTAAGCGACGCTAGCGTTGGTAACACTGTCCCGCTCGTGCAATATCAGACGGCCGTCTGACATTTTGTGTAAGCTCCACTATATTTGCATATATGCATTACATGTGCACGAAACATTCACACATTCTACCGCTGTTTAAACCAATACGGATTGCCATCAAGACATTTGAATGCGTAACTCACAGAAATGCCGATCGAAAATGACATTGATTTTAAAACAGCGTCATTTCAAAATCAATTGTTTCACCTCAATGTTGAAGTCTATGCAAATGATTATTTTTTGGCTTTATTCCTTAAAATACAATATTTCTGACTCAGAAATTCAATTTATTCTCAGGTTTATGAATTTAACTTGTGCTGTTATGAAAAGATTTTCAGTTTAAGATACTTAAAATTGCTAATGAATCAGTGAGATTAGTAGTAGTTGATATATTGCTAAAATTGAAATTGAATAAACGTTGAATTTTTTCATAGAAATGGTGAAAATGTTCTGTGTTTTGTTCAAGAACTATGTGAATATATTTCATAGCTGTTCTTAAGGGAATTCACTGTTTCCCAAGGAAAATGGATTGCTATTTTGGTGCCACTTTTATGTTTCCATGAAGTGATGCCATTGTGTTGCATTTTCTTTGGATAAAATTAGACAAATCAACTGAATTCAGCACTTGAGTTCTTAGAACTATTACACTAAATGATTAGATAACAAACGAGCCGTAATAACAGGAAATGATACCCAAATAAAAATGGGCTAAACTACACAACTTCGATTTGGTTTATTTGCTTTTATTGAGCGTTTTTCAAATTAGAAAGAATTGGTTTTGATTATTTATTTAATAATATTTAATTTATTCGAATGAGAAGTTTCTTATTTTAGTTGTGAAAATTTATTGCAGTTGTTTTTATTACCGTTACATGAAATGCTCTGTGCAAGTGCCGTTTTGTTTGCAATGTTTGCACAATTTTCCATGTTTTTTACTCTAAATGTGAGCACTTTTAAATTTACCAGTGATGACAAATAGACCATTTCCCCAAAGTAATATCCAGCAAATCCAACAAGGGATTTCAATGAGCTCAGTTTCTCGACAGGCGTTTGATTAGCCTTGATAATAATATGTATTAGAAATTCGCAGTCATTCTCAGTTAGTAATCGCTATGCAATCTGCAAGTCGTCCAATTTGACGTTCATCATTTCGGTTTCGTTCAGCCAACGTAAATTTGTTGTTAACGAAGGAATCGTGAGGTTTTGCCAAAAATACGATCGAAAGTTGCCAGGACATTCGCTGTTTTGTGTAAACCATGTAAAATGCTTCAGTTTCGGGTATTTCCGGTTGACCCATTTATCATCAAAATTACCGCCTAGAACTCGCCATTTTCTCTCGCTTGTGTATAGTCCATTCACTTTACAATGGCTCAAGTTAACATATTCGACTTGATTTAAGAATTCTTCGGGAATCATTTTGATTTGGTCTAAGTTAACTTCATCGAAATAGATTCTCTTGAATGATTTGAATATACGCCAATCAACGTTGGTCAGATTTGATTCATCAGTTCTGGCATCAACTAATAAATTCTTAGCATATTCACGAAAACCAACATATCTTGAAATATACGCCAAACCATTTTCGCAAAATTCTTGCTCATAAAAATGGCCGGCAGCCCGTTGCATTCGTTTACATGTTTGTCCAAAGGAGTGTAGATCATTGATTGACAGATATTTGAACACTGCTTCGAAGCAATCGACGTCCAATTTGAAGATTTTCGGTGGTTGTTCAGTGTCCGCATTTTGATGCGGTTCGTTCCTTCCGCCTGTTAACCTTCGACATTCTGTGGGTTCATTTTGATTTGGCGTGGTTTTTCGCTATGTGATCTGTCGAATGTAATCCCAATTGGAATGGGATCAAAAGTGAAATTCCAATTAAAATATTTGAAAATAATCGAATTGGAAATTTTTCAGAGTTTCCATTTCAAAATCAACAAATTCAAACAGCGGCGATCAAAATTATCGATGTAGTTTCCGTGATTATTTCGTAGAATTGATGTTTTTAACTTGAATTGACGAAAAATATGTTTTATTTTCAAAAACCCAACGAACTGTTCGGAGAGTAATACAAAAAAATTGTGTGATTTTTGCTTAAAAATGAAATACTCATCTAAACAAAACCGGAGACGTTGACAGTTAGCTCTGAATGCAAACATAGATGACCATATTGAATCGGTTAAAATTGATACAGTCATTAAACGGAATCACATCATCAAACTGTCAAACGGTTTTCGTTTGAGTGAAAGTGTTTAACGGTAATTGAACGAAATACAAGCAATGTACACTATAACAAAAACTGAACGAAAGAAATAATAGGGTTTTTAGTCTTTGTATTGATAAAAGACATCACTATATTCATGAGAAGACATTTAAATTGTGACATTTTGGAGAACTATTGATTTAAAAAAAATGGTTGATTTTAAATCGAAACTGAAGAATATGTAAACGAACGCATTATTTTCTTCTTTAAATTCTTGTATTTTCTCTTATTAATGACGAACGATGAATTTATTGAACGATGAGTATATTCAATATCTCTGACACATTAAGAATTAGCGACACGCTTACATACAACCGCTGTTTTCATTCGTTAACGACCATATCATGTAAAAAGCACCAGTTCTCGTCCGATCACTGAAGTTAAGCTGCATTGAGCATGGTTAGTACTTGAATGGGTGACCGTCTGGGAACACCATGTGTCGTTGGCACATTTTTTTTTCTTAATAATTTTTAATCCCATTTAAATATTCAATTTTTTTTATTTATCAGCTAAATGAAGTGATTTTTTTGCCGAAATTCACATTAAGAAGAATAAGGGGTTTGGTTTGGGAAAAAAAACTTTGCATCAAATTTGAGTTGAATTAAAGAAAAAGAATGATCATGAAGATTGACGTGTTTGTGCTTTGATTGCGTTTGAAAAGGATACGCCTTTAGCGTATCGGAATCATTCCATATTCAGAATGCATATTTGAAGCCTGCCTTTCTTTGTACGAAAATATTCTTTGTGGCAATTGAAATGAATGAGTTTTATCACAGTCGTTCCGTTCAACATCAACATTTAGTAGATCACAATATTTCATTTGACAATTTTTCCGCCTTCATACTGCATTGATTAACATCAAATCAACGGTTTAGAACAATGGTTTTTGCATTGACAAACAGTCTGATCGTTTTGACAAACTGCATTCGACGGAATCCCAATCAAAATATTTGGGTTAACAAAGATATTTGTTAGCTCAAAGTGATAATAATAATACGCTCAGTTTCTCATCCATTCGCAATCGAATATTTCTTTACCGTTTCTTTTAGCGGCCACTGATTCTTTTTATAGATTTCAGATTGAGAAAAAAAAGTTGTTTTATTCGAAATTTCGTAGACGGGACAAAGCGAAATTTACAAGAACATTGGACATCATACAAAAATCATGATTCCTCTATGCTATGTATTCAGTTTTACGGTACCACAGTTAACGACGAAAAAAATGTCCATTTCTCCCAAATTTTTCCATCAAGTAAAAAAATCTATAGTCGACTATAAAACTTAAACCATTCTACGAACGATAAATGGAAGATAGTAAAGGTGAAAATTGTTGGATTTAACTTACTTTTATTTAGAATAAAAGAATCTATCATATCCCATAAAAAATCCACATAAAAAATGTGCTCAAAATGTTCTCTCATATTAGTATGGCTCACTTCACATCAAATTTTTGCTCATTTTTGGTGTGAGTCAGATTTTCACACCAAAAACTCCATACAAAACGAGCACATTTTTGATGTGACTGGCAATAAATGATGTTTCTGTTTTGCCGTTGCAACGGTCATTTATATCGACAACTTGCCTATCATTGTATTGTCAGTCACATCAAAAATTTGCTCGTTTTGTATGGAATTTTTGGTGTGAAAGTCTGACTTACACCAAAAATGAGCACAAATTTGATGTGAAGTTGGTGTGAGCCATACTTATATAGAGATTGGAGAACATTTTGAGCACATTTTTTATGTGGATTTTTTTATGGGATTAGTCTAGCCTACATGAAGAAAAACTCAACTTTGAAGATTTATGTTCGGAGTATCGGACCTTAGAATAATAGCTTGTCTTATTTCATTCATGTATACGTTAATTTACCTCAAAACATAACCAGCGTGATGACAAATCGTAAAAAAAATCACTTCAACTGAAGCTGTTCCATACCTTTTAATCGTTGTGTGCACAATGTTCGATGCATAAGTGATCTAATTAGACACCAACAATCATGATGGTTGATGCTCATCGATAAGTGAAACTTCTTTTATTTCAGGGTGGTGTTTTTACAAAAATCCATGGCCACAGCTGTGCAATATCAATTGTGAAATCAATACGCATCTCATTCAATGTTTATGGAAAGTATGACGAACTGAAGATTACATACAAACTCGATGGTCGTAATTTTTTTTCACTATCGATCATTTTACCATTTGTCGGGCATATTTCCGCTTCGAGTGAACTATGAAAATGTGTCTGGAAAAGGTTCAGAATAACAAATAAAAATGCCATAGTTTTTTTTTATTTCATTACAATTTCTTATTACTTTATTTAAAAATAAAAAAATCAATAATAAATGATTGGTTAATGCATAGTGAGATTTATTAATAAGAATGTCGATCTTCTTTAATTCCTTTTTTTAATATATGAATTTGTTTTCCACAGTTTCTCCCTCTTCTTCGAATGCAAATGCGAATTGGAAAACAAAATAAATAAATCAACTTGTTTTGTTTGTTTAAATGTTAGATGAGCTATAACAGAACAGATATTGTCGCAAAACTGAACTAAATGCTCTCGTTCATAATGCTTGTCTATTTTTTTTTCCTTGCATATTGGTTGTATGTGTCTTGTGGCTATGTGCATTGTGGTAGTTTGTTTGATGGTATTTTTAGTGCCAGTTTTTTCTCTTCTTCTTCTTCTTCTTCTTCTTCTTCTTCTTCTTCTTCTTCTTCTATTTTCGTTTGTATTTTTCTTCTCTTAAATTTCAAGTTTCGATTAGGATGTGTGGTGGTTTTTTTTTTGTGTGTCACTAATATTCTTCTTACAATTTAAGCGATCTAATGTTTTAGTTTTTATGAAAAATTTCATAAGAAATCCATTGAAATTTATATAAAAAAAAAAAGATAAACGTTCCAAGTTACGTTGTTTGCATTCGTCAGTCAACGTGTTTTATTTTATACATACGAATTTTTCATCGTGAACTTTATTCATTCATCATCATCATCATTTTCGTTTTTATCATTGTCACCATCTTTTTTTCCTTCCGGAATTTTCTCCCGTTTCGATAATTGAGCCATACAAAACAGGGGGGGGTGGTTAGGTTGTGAAGAAAAACAAAAATCGACCGTCGGTTTCATACAAAATGAATTCATCGATGCGCATACATTCATTGCCCAAATCTACCAAACAAATACAATAAAAAAATTGTGTGTTTGTTTGACAGACTGATGTGATATCGTTTGTTTTTATCTCTCTTGATTTGAATTATTATTCGAAATTTTGTTCAAAATCAACACAACAAAAACAAGGTTGATGTGTTTCGCATTTGCGCTATTCGTCGACATCATTCGGATTCGTTAATGAAATTGTGTGAATTATGTGTTGGCTAAATCAATTCATCACATTATTTGCAAATGCTTCATCTTCTTTTTTTTTAAGTTTTAAACAACAAAGTTATGTTATTTCTTCTGTGTTTTTTCGTCTTCTTTTAAATTAACCCCTTCCGCTTACTTATTCCACACAACAAATTACTACGCATCTACTAAATGTTACTTAAATGCTAGTTCATTCCTAATCTAATTTCTATTTTATTTAGGTTTTTAAATCCTATACTGTTCTCCTTCTTCGTTTTTTCTCTCCGTGTGTGTGTGTATGAAATGTATTTAACTTCTACATGACAAATAATTCAGTATCATTAATCATTATTGTTACGGTCGTTATTTAGTGTCTCTTCGTCTGATAGCGTTTAAAATATGTCAACTTGAATCTTATATACCGTGTATGTGTTTTTCTTGTTCGTTTCCATTGTATAAAAAGAGTTGTTTTAATCCCGGTCCTTGGTTTTCGCTAATTTACACACCTCTAACAAAATTCTACCGTTAGAAATTGCATTGTGTAGATATTTTTCCGATGATAATCCGAATGTTGTGGTTCGCACGTATAAATTTCACTGCTTCGTACGCAATATATGTAAATACAAACCGTGGTATTTTTTTTCAATTTCCTCGAAAAATACCCACTCAATTCAAATTCTCTTCGGCAAGATGTGATATAGCAAATCTTTCCTAATTTACGTTCGAACAATTTCAGTTCCTTGTTTCTCATTTCTTCAGTAATTTGTTGTTAAATGTATTGGGTTCGCTTAAAATTCAAAATTACACTATTTAGTAGTTTTATGTACACGATGTGACAAATAGTATTAGAATGAAAAAAAAATAAACTAACCAACAAATAACGTGAGCATGTACTTGGACATTTGGACAGTTCAATCTTAATACGTTAAAAAAAAAAACTCCGATTCGCGATGCATCCTATTTTCAATTGCCAATTTTCCCTAACGTCGCCGGCCGACCAATTTAAGCATAAACAAAATCCTTGATGAAACATTTAAATGGACAACAGCAGCATGATTTTATCTTTTTTTTTCCGCAATTTTTCTTCTTTATTTTTTACATATTCAATCCAATTTGAATTGTATCCGTAGTCAAGTCACACAGCACATGCGATATATGACAACTGTGTACCACTCGCCATTTTAATTGATCAATGTTGCACATTTAAAGGATAACTGCATTGAACCACACTTTAGACAATGTTTCATTTAAATGCCAATGGAATTTCATCCAAGCATTTCCCTCATTCCATACAAATTATCGTTTTCTGATAAGAATCACAGAGCTAAACTCTGATTCTTTTGTCGCGCAAAAATTAGAAATATACAAAACTTACAATTTATGTTTTTCTTTTAAAAATTTCATTGACTTTTAAAAAGTTGCTATGCTTCTTATCAAGAAAAACTAATAATTCCGTATGCAATCAGAAAATGTAAATTTGTAACCGACTCCTATTTTGCATTATCCAGTTCTAGCGAATCATTCACATCGGAACAAATTATTTGAGAAAAAAGAAATGAACATAAAACAAATGATTTGTATGTCTCTGTGTGTATGTTGTTCTAAAAAAGAAACTATAAACTTAAGCAGATACTCCATCAAAGGATCTATGTCATAAATATTTATATAAAAAATCTCAACCAGAATATTGTTGACAGTAACAATTATTATTGAAGATGCTTAGAAGTTAAAAGGAAAGTTGTGCTCGCAAAGAAGCAAAGAAAGTGTTCTGAGGAGGGGGAAAGCGCCTTGTTTCGTTCTAAACTATGCGAACATTAAATTAAATATATATAAAATCCTCAAAATACAATTAGTCTTATGAACATAGGCCTTGGCAAGGATCGTATCTCATTTTATTTTACTCTATCTCTCTCTGTGTGTGTGTGTTACCGAGAAAACAGAGTGTTTTTCTCACGTCTCGTCGTCAATTTCGCAGCGACAATCATATTTCGCGATTAAAACGGGGCGAGTCCTGAATAGATTCCAATAAATTGAATGAACTTCACATGGTTCGTTCTGATATATGTACATAAAAGCATAGATTGATCTTAAAAATGGGAGCAGTCTGACAGGGAAACATATGGGAGCGCAACGGAACATTTTGTATTAAAATGCCGCAATTTCAGGAGTCAAGACTCATTTTGTTCGTTCCCTCTGTTATAACATTGTAACTTATTTACTGATTAATCATCCGCTACACTAGGTGTTGAAAATTACAAACGAACATCTAAGCCTAAATTAATTTCTCCGTTACTGCATCGTATTTTCTTATTTTTTTTTATCGCAAGTATATGCGCGAACATTGTAGGTAAATATCGTCCCATGTTTACTTTGCGAATTGGGCCATCCGTTAGATACTCGGACTTGTGTGTGTTTCTTTTTTCCTCAATAAATGTAGGCATTTGAAAAACAAAAAATATCGTCAAACGCAAAATGTGAAAATTCGCGCACAGAAAATAAGAATATTGACAAATTGAAAGAAATTGGTTATTTTCAACATATGAACGAAGCATTTGGGAATTTGGAGATAGCAGTGTTTTCGAAACGAAAAGAAGAAAAAAGAATCAACATTTTCCAATCACAACGGACCAAATTGCGGAAGTGGTGAATTGTTCTCGGCGAATTTTCCCCTTCTGCGTTCGATGGCCGGTCCAAATGTACGAATGTTTTTATACATTGTATATATAGATAAATGTAAATAATGTTAGATAATTACTCTTACGTTGACTTTCATAATAGTTAATTTCATTAATGTTACTTTTCATTTAATATTTTGTTTTTTTTTTTCAGTCTTTTCTCCCACTTGCTTTTATAAGGCAGCTTTTTATGGGCACCATAAAACCAATATGTTTGATGGAACGGGGGATTTGCGTGTATGTTTGTGTGTGTATGTGATTCGTGTGGATACCATTTGATTGTGTTGTCGGGGGATTTTTAGTTTCATCTTTTATTTCGGTTTTTGTTCAATAATATTTATGCGGATGGCTGTTATCGAACCTTGACCTGTACTGTGATCGTCATCCAGATCATATTCGCTGTATGTCATTTATTTAGTATGTTTTTTTTTTGTTGTATGTTGAATGGATGAATGTCGGTCTGATTGTGTGTTGTAAGAAATTGTTGTATTCGTTCTTTTTTTTCTCATTCCATTTGGTTAGCAATTTGTTTGTTTCACCGTTTCGTGTTCAAATTTCGGTCTGGGCTTAGTAAAAAGTTTGCCTTTATTTGTTAATTCAAACAAAAGAAACAATCAAATAGATATAATATGATGGTTTTTTTTTTGGGGGTATGCGTCCAAATGAGGCCGAGTTGCTTTAGCAAAGCAGCACCAAGAAAATCATTTTCAAAAAAAAAAAAAAAAAATTCACACAGTTTTCTCAACTTTAAGTCAGAAATATTTCGTTATTTTTTTAATTATTTTATTCATCTTCAATTCTAGTTATTCTGTTCATCGTCGCCAGATAGTGTATATCGAATTATTCATTCTGTCTGTGTTTATCTCATGGTTTTATTTTATTCTCTCTCTCTCTCTCTCTCGCAAATAAAAACTCTTCTGCCTATAGGTTACATAGAAAACTCAAAAAGGAGTAGAAAAAAAAAATAAAATGTGTTTTAGAAACCGGTTTGATTTTATTATTTCTTAGAATTAAAACATCTCCTTGAATTATTTTTAAACGTTTTATTGCTCACATTAAACATTTTTTGTTTGTTAAAAAAACATAAGCTTTTGCACGAACATATCTATTTCGAAATTCGTCAGCGATTTTCTCAATGAATAAGAATCATCGCATTGTATCGAGAAGTTGACAAAAAAAAAGAAATTATAATGGCTGAAGTTTTATGCGCATAAAATTTTTCATTTTGTGAAGCAACTTTAATTTAATAATATCCGCAGTATTACTTGTTAATTTACTTTTTTTGTAATTCTTTGTTTAATTTTCATTTCGTTTTTTTATTCCGCATCGATTTTTGTTTTTGTTTATATTTATAGTCATCCTACGCTCATACAAATATCGTAAGCCGCTCAACTGAGATATGTGCAATGTGCATAATCATTCTCTCTCTCTCTTGATTCCTTATTTTCAAATAATCAATCGAAAAATTGTACGATTCGTTTATCAACTTTCGAGTCGTTTTTTCAAAAAAAAAAAAAAATAAATGAAATTTTAATAGCTCGTGAATTCATTCCAAATTAAATCAGTTGTTTGAATTTACTTTCTTGTGTTTGTTCTTCTTTTTAGTAGGCTTCCTCAAATACGAAGTTGTGTACACATTATTTTGGGATTTTTTATTCGTTTTCGTGACTCGTGATCATTTTGAAATCGCTTTTAGAAAAATGTTTTTGTTTTGTTTCATTAATTATTATTATCAATTTAATTTTTCGCATTTAGAACTAAACTTGGTTTTTATCTCTTGATGCTAGGGTTCGTATGTCTCTTTCTCTCTCTAGTCATAGTTAATTCTAACTAAACAAACTAAAATTTAAGCATGAGCACAGGGTTTGTGGCGCATGCATCAATACAATTCGTTTGTTCTGTTGTTGTTGGTGTTGTTGTTCTACTAATATATCTGTTGGTTTGACACCATTGTGGATCATTGAAAGCGACGCTACCGTAATATTTTCGTTTTAGTTTTGCTTCTTTTCTCCTTTCCTTCCTCTTATTCCGAGTTTACAATATTGCTTACATGACATTTTCATCTAGCTGTTCGTAAGACTAACAAATTTTTCTCGTTATATTTTATAAATTTGTTTTTTTTTACTTTTCCATTTCGGAAATAAGATTGAACAAAACATATGTATGTAGCAAGTGAGATGAAGAGGAGGCCATATATGTGAAATATGGCTCCGTATACAGCAAATTGGAGTGATTTTTTTCGACAACAAAATGAAAAGAAAAAAATAAATAAAACGATTTACTTGAAAAACTGATTAAATTGACGGTAAATGTTGTAATTTTTTGTTGTTGTTATGTTGCTGTTGTAGTTGTTTGAGTGTGGGATGGGTGTAGTGAGTCTAAATGTGTGCTTAATTTTCAAACTAATCCATTCCTCTTTTTTCGCCCTCTCTCTCTCTAGAAATCGTTACCGTAATATTATTGTTTGTTTATATCTATATTCTTATTAGTTCTTTCCTGTTGGATGTATCGATTATACGAGTGTCTACGCTTAAAGGACTCAGAAATGCATGTCATACTGTTTTTCGAGAATGAATCAAGTGTTCAGGATCTTAGCGATATTTTGTATATGTATGCGATTTCGAGTCCTTTCTCTTTTCTATCGCATTTTTTTCTCTCAAATTTTTATGTTTTTATTTTGAAAAATGTTTTCTGATTACTTCCTAAATTCTGTATGTTTTTTAATAGAATAGTAGTTCGCCTCGAATAAATTTTAAATACAATCTAAAGAAATCCTAGAAAAATATGTGTTTATCTGCTTTAAATTTTTTGTCATTTTTTTTATTATCTTTTATTTGCGACAAAAAAAAACGATACAAATCTTAGAAATTAAGAATGATATAAATTCGAATATTATTATGTAATATGTATAGAAATATTCACTTGTTTTTCTTTTGTTTATTCACTAAGACTTAATGAACACTGAACACTGAGCGCCAATGATAGAGAAAAAAATATTGGGCGATGCATTCGGATCGCACAGATTATTAGCGAATCAAAGTTTCGATGCGGATGCTCTTTCACAATTTGCTGTTTATTTTTTTTTCAGAACGTGTATTTTTTTTGTTTATTTTATTAGTTTTTTTATCTTGTAAACTCCTATGTATATAGTTTTTGATACAACTACCGAATTCTGTTTTTTTTTTGGAAAAAAATTCCAAAATGTCTAAAAATGGACTCCGAGGATTGAACCTTTCTTTCGTCGATTGATTCGTGTCGTTTTTATAATTTCTGTTTTGCCTTTCTATCGGGGTTTCGAACGCACTTTCTATTTCTAAATAATTTATTGATTACATCAGTAGTGTTTTTTTCTTCATTTCATTTGCATAAAAACATATATTGTCCTTATTCAATATCATTTTTTTCTTTCTATAAAGAAACAATAAAATCATTGGATTCAAACACGAACGTAACATAATAACAAACATTTTTTTGAGGATTTTTCGTAAAAGAAAATAGAAATAATATAAAGAAAACAACACATGAGATGAAAAAAAAAATTGGGCTATGTTACGGCCAACAGTAGATATGGCTGCAGAGCTCAACGTAGTACAGGCTCGTGTTGAACTCTCATTAACGAGCAATGTGTATTTTATGTGTACATGTGTTTTTGTTTTGGGGAAGAGGGGAGGGTGGAAGTATGTTGGAATATTGCCCAACAAATGGAGCAAAAGAGATGAAATGAAAATTGTGCATCAAATCTGGGAACTGAAGGGCACATAACATACGCGCATTCACTTAATTATGGTCGAAATAAACAGTGTGTGTTTGTGTAACATTTCGTGGCTGTTGTGATTAGAATGTCAAAGAAAAAAAAAAGTATTGGATTTTCCGATTCTTTGGAAAAGCTAGCAAGAAAATTCAAAGAAAAACGACTATATTAAACTAAATCAGTCCACTGATGGAAAGAAAAAAAATGAGATGAACTCAGTGATTTATCATACAAATGATTCAAATGGCAATTGATGCCGATAGCTTCCTCTATTATGTGTGTGTGTTTTTTCTGTTTTGTTTCTTTTTTTTTTGGATTTCTTCTTAGTTGGATTTGTATGCTTTTCAGTTGCAGTTCATTATTTTGTGTTTTTTTTTTCTACTTTTTCGTTTATGAATTTATCATATGTGTACGTATTTCAGGACAAATCAGCTTTTCATTTCGATTGTATGCTTGATTATTTTTTTTTTAAATGTCAAAACGAATTTTTTTTTGTTGCTTAATCGATTGGGCTTTTTTCATGTATTTTTTTGCCAATATAAATAGAAGTTAACATTAAAGTCTAAATTATTTTTAAGGAGAAAAGAAAAGAGTGTGTTAAAAAAGAGAAAAAGAAAAGTACATGCATAAAAATAAAATAAAAGAAAAACATAAAAATTGAAATATTAATTATGAATCCCAAAACTGTAATCTGATCTGGTTTGTTTTTTTCGCAAATAATTTTTTTTTTTTTTCATCAATCAGTTTCTATTGTTTTCGCTGATTCAAATTTTTTGCTGTGTGATTCTATTTAACTATGTAATTAAAAAAAGAAAGAAGTAAACGTATTTGAGATAGAAAAATCAAATAACATAAACAAAATGGAAATGGTGGATATTATGTGTTTGTTTCTGTTTTTGTTGTTGCTAACGTTATCGTTGTTGTTGTTGATGTATTTGTATTGTGAAGAGAGTTTGTATGTGTTTTTTTTTCTTCTTTTATCACCTATGGATCTATTGAAAACTTTTAAAAACTATCATGTGTGTGTAATTTTAAAATTATTAAAAGTAAAAATAAGAAGAAGAAATAGAGAAAAAGGATTATGTGTAATTATTAAAGTGAGACACGAAAAATCACATAGACGCTATTTCTGTCAAAACAAATAAACTACCAAAAATACGAAATTAGGCGAATTTTCCGCAGTCCATCGGTTTTAATTTCATAAATTTCAACTTTTTTTTCTTCTTTTCGTTTTTTTTTTGTCTAGATTTTGTATGCTTAGTTTTCTTCGTACAGCTACACAAACAAAGATGTGTATGTGTGTGTATGTATGTTGTTTATTATTTGTTTTGTTCTTTTTTCTTCAAAAATGTGTTTTTTTGTCTTCTCCTCAAACAAGTTTCGAAACGTGTTATTGTGATTTTACATCATTATTTTATGAATTGTTTTTGTTAAAAAAAAAAAGTTATTATTTTCCTTTTAACTCCAAGCTGCATATGTGTCCGTGTACCATTGTTCGCCATTCGCACCCAATGGTTGTTGAGGCAACGGTTGACTTCCCCAATTATTTCCACCATTTCCTAAAATTAAGCCACTTGCGTAACGTCGCTTTGGATCCCCTGGATTTTGGTGACCGCCATCAAATTTACGTTTACCGACTACTATATTTTCATTCAAAATGAAAGGAAAAGAAAAGAACAAAATAAAAGCGGAAACAAAAAACAAAAATCGATTAACGAAAGAAACAAAGCATACTATTCAAGATGGAAACAAAATTGTCATCTCTTTTGGTGGATTTCGTTTTTTTTTTTTCTGTTCTAAATTTTTGTTTTGGTATAATTAATAATAACAATAATGGTAATATTAGATTTCAAGCGTTTGATGTATATGTAATTTGTATCGTATCGTATTTGATTTATATATATCTCTTCGCTACGATCCAATTACAGATACACATTGAACGTGAATTGGTTCAAAAATCACTGGTCGTATATCCATAATTAAGTTGTTGGCTTTTCTTTTCGGAATAATCGTTTCATTTGATAGAAAACGAGAACTGATTGACCTCATTCGAAATAATATATATAAAATAAACCAAATCGAAAAAAGGGGAAAATTAAAAATAAGACAAATAATTGGTTTGACCGAAACAAAAAACATGAATAAAAAACAATTGGTTTGGAGGAAACTAATTTTTGAATAGTGTGAAGGAAGAGTAAAAGTATCAGTTTTAACCAATGAGTTGAAACGAAACAAAAAAGACATATTATTTAAATGAAAAATTAAGCAGCGTCAACATTAAATATGGCAATTGCCGATGTTGATCATTGGCGTAACAACCGAAAATCAACAAATTATGTTATAATTAAAGAAGATGGTAACAAAAAATAACGTCAAGAATGTGGAGTCGAAACAAATATATGCATTTGAAACAAAAACCAAACAAAATGTTGAATATGCAAAACGGGCTTGAGATTAGAGCATTAATATATGATTATTGATATTTTAAAGAATAATTTCTTAAAAAAAAGTAACAAATATGTGTATTAAGAGTGTATGTGTGTGTTGATGAAAAGACGGTGTAAAAGTGTGTGCATTTGGCTAGGGTGATGAAATTTGAACATGTTTGAATATTTATTGATCAAATCAACCAGTTTTATTGTCTTGACAACACATGCCGGAACGACTGTTATGTTGCAGGCACCTACTGAAATACACACGTCCGGCTTGGCTCAAAGCAAAATGTCCAAACACTGAGCCACACTATTGTCAGAAAAGGTTTGCACGAAAAATATCGTTGGGCAATGGGATAAGTGAATGTAAAAGTGAAGCGCCACGTTAACGATGGATCGTTTGTGCAATTTGAACATGAGTTCAAGGCGTCTTTGCGCCAAATTTTCATATTAAAGAGAGAGAGAAAACCCCCACCACGCGCAGTATAGTCACACTAATTCCTTAATAGCTTTAGGTCGCTATTAATTGCATGAAAGGATTAAAAGCATGATTTGGCAGGAGATTAGCGTAAAATAAACATCAAGCGCTTACACCAAAGGTGTCGTTGCGCACCATTTTATTCTAGTTCATTTCATTGTTTACATGAAATTCTACACAGAAAATAAGTCAAGCATTAATGGATAGTGGATTATGTGTTTGGCAGCTTTGAATGAATGTTATTCGAAATGTAATGCAAGTGTTGTATTTTATATTGATTTTTTGTTTGTTTTCGTTTGTGTTTGTGTGTGTTTTTTGTGATTGATGCAAGAAATCCAACAAAAATCAGGAGCAATAAGACAATTGTGTGTGTGTGTGTGTGTGTGTGTGTGTGTGTGAGTAAATTAATGAAAAACACAAATAATCATGAGAATAGATCGAAATGATGGCTACATTGTTTAAACACTATTTCAAATCAATCCCAATATTTGAAGCGGTTATAATTCAAAAAGAAATTGAAAAGAAACAGAACGAAAAAGGACGAATGATTGAAAAAAGTACTAAATGAAACATAAATAATTGTCGGCTGTTCAAATGAATCGGCATTCAATGGTGCAATTTGATAAGATATTTGGAAAATCGCTACACTTATTTGTTAAATTCACTATGCGTTTGTTGAGTGTGTGTGTGTGTGTGTGTGAAAGAAGAAGAATTGACACCACATTGTAATGTTCTCTCATTGTTTGTTTGCTAATGTGTTTCTTGGTTCTTCAGTATGTTTTCACATTGAAGCGATTTTAAATCATTCTTTGCTCATATGATTTTTTGTCATTTGTTTCAGGAGTTTTTAAAGTTAATGATTAATGGTCGCTGAAGCGATTTTTCATTTCATTTTTGTAAAGTGGAACAACGGCAACTCCATGTGAACAATCCAAAGAGACAAACGCCAACATAATAACAAATATTGGATTAAAACAAACACACATACATAGTTAAAAACGGAATATGGACACGGCCCATTTTGCCGTCCCGTCGTAACGTTTTGCACATTTATTTTACATTAATCACACGGAATCAAACAATTTGTCTATATAGCAGATGTCTTATTTGAATTATTAGTTTGCCGGGTAATTCAATGTAAATTAAATAAAGACTATGTAATTAATGTGTTAAACAGCGTACAATTAATTTGCTGAGATTTTATTCGATTTATATTGTTGCTTTTACTGGATTATAATAAATGGAATTTAAGAGAGAGAGAAAAAAAAAGTTTTTCAAATAAAAACCAACAAACAAAGAAACAATATGAACAATTTGTTTGCATATAAAAAAAAAATGTGTATGGTTAGATTATTTTTGAATGTTTGTATTTGTGCTAGTTATTCAATCCCAGTTCCTTATTTTGTTTTTGTCGCGAAAATTGACAAAAATAGGCCAATCATATTCAAAAAAACATGTACTTTTTGGTTTGTTTTGGTTTTTGGTGTGAACATTCAAATATTTCCAGCATCAAAATCATTATTTATTTTGTCGTCAGCTTGAACTCTTCAACTCTTCCTAAGATTACCGCTCAAAAATGCGTCAAATTTCATTTGACAATTGCACTATGTGCACCAATCAAAATTCAAACACTGTTGCACACCCATCGCTCACACACATCGAAATTCCATTGAAATTTCCGAGGTCTCACTTTCACTCTCTCGCTCTGTATCCGTCATTGTTTGATTTTCGAACACGCAGATTATGCCTATGCATACATTTCTGTCTCCATGACAATAATTCAATTAAATTCATTAAATGGTAAATTTTGCAAACAGGAATCGATTCATAAGCGCATAATTGGTGTTTCAACAGAGGATAGTATCGGTTTGCATGAGAACAATGAATTGGATAGAGCTCTCTATCCAATTTATTGTGAATAAAATCACATGCTAAAGGCTGCCATGATTCACCAATGAAATGTCCATTAAAGCTAATATTTGAGTCTTTTTTTCTGGACAAAAGATATCACACATGCAAGAAAAAAACCTGTTCTAACAAAAGCTAAATTGAGAACAAAAAAAAACACCGATCTTCCGCACCAGATGCGATTCGTTTGTTCTTTTCTATTTCGCCTGGATCTTGGTACACCCTAAGTAAATGAAATATCGGAGTCATTTAAGCAATTTGACTCGGCAATTCGAATTGAACATTCATACAAATCTCAACTACGTCGGATAGTGCTTGTAACGAAGTGGTGAAAAGCTAAGAGAAGATTGACAGACAGGCATAAAATTATATGTGGGGATCAATGGGAATAAAAGCGGTTCAATTAAAAAAAAAAATATATTATTTTTGTGTTTACTAGCCAAAAAAAAACCCTCGCAATTGAGAAGAATGTATATTTATATTAAGCTTAAACCTATGGCGTCAATTTCTTTATATATTTCTTTTGATAACATTCTGAGCTCATGTTTTGTTTGACGATAACAATGTTGGATTTGAAAATGATTCAAAAAAGTGTTTGTGTGTGTGTGTGTGTGTGTGTGTGTGTTCGATTACAGGAATGATATTTTTCACATTTCATGGATATAATTTGGTTTGTTTGTTATTGTTGTTGAAATCAAAGTGCTTCATTTCGACTCAACACTGATTCATGTGTTTTTATGGAACCCTAACGGTTCTCAAGTCGCCGTTTTGTATATTAAATATTTATAAACGATTTTGGTTGTTGTCTTTTAAAAATGGTTACATTGAGATTAAATTTTGGAATTGGTGTGTGCGCGCACGTCACAATCATCGAATGTGTCAACACAGGTTCGGCCATGCATTTTGTTTTGTTTCGTTCCGACGACTGAATCGGATTCGATTTGGATGTCTAAACCGCATAAATCTCGGAACAGATCAATACTAAACTGTGCAGGATTCTTCACGAATGGCTGGCTTATTGACAGAAGAGCACACAGAAAGAAGATCAAAACAAAAAATGTCCAATTAGAAAAGACAATGTCAATAGGCCGTTTTGCACATTGATATTTGGTTTTTGATTGTAAATTGGTTTTGTCTGGTTTGTTGTGTTGTTGTTGTTGTTGTTGTTGTTTTTTTTGGTTTGGTTTGGGTTTGGTTTGGTTTGGTTTTTACTCATTTTAGTTTTGGTTGTTGTTTTAATTTTGGTTTTGGTTTTTGTTTTTGATTGTCTATATATGTTTTTTGTTCGTTATCGGTCTGGATGTACTCTCACCTGTTGTATTTGGCAGTGGCTTGCCTCGCTGAGTGCCACGAACGTTGAGATGTGCTTGTATTCCACGGTAAGCCGCGGTTATTGGAGCTACCACGTTGAGACGTTGAGGTAATTCCTCCAGATTGATGCCACGGAGCCCAACGGCTCGGGAAGGCACTATGATTCCACGACAATGACCAACTCCCTACACAGTAGCACATTCGATTAGGATTTATATTTAGTTTGGTTGGTTGATTGGAATTTTTTTTGTTCAAATTTTTTTTTTAGAATTGTTTGTTCGTAAATGACTGTTTAAGTTGGACATTGATTCAATTGTTTTTCAATTCCCTATCTAGTTTTTTTTTTGTTTTTGAAAAAATATTATTCAACGATCGAAAGTTTTTTTCAAAAAAAAGTTTGCTTTTTTCACTAGTTGTCATTTGCATCATTGCTTTGTATTTGATGAAAAGAAAAAAACGGCAACGAATGAAATACTGAACAAAGAGTAGGAGGATGCAAATCGAAGACACAAAGCGGTAGTTCAGTTTTCTTTTGGTCTAGAAATTTTGATTTGGGCACAGAAATTTCGCACACATCTTCAACCATGTTTTTTTCTCCAAATATATAAAATGAGTCAATTCCGTATTCGTATCAATTCAATGAGGTGTTGTTTTTTTTTATTTTGGAATTTTTCGTTTTTGTTTCAGTTTGTTTGATTTTGATGTACAAGTTAAATTTTGCTTGATAAATCAACAGAATCGAATAAATTTTTGCATTTTAATTGGATTGATCAATGCCTGTTGCGATGGAATAATTGCCAACCGGAAAATGGAAATTTCTTGCCATCTCGAATTGTAGTGGATCGAAACGAACAACAAAGCATATCGAATCCATGAGTCAATTAGTGTGCTGATTAGTGGATCACTGTGCATTAAAATTATTTCAATTTTTTTTCGTTTGTTTTTCGTCGGAAGCAGAAAAAAATGAAATAAACAAATTAGCTCAATTTGGAAGAAAACAAAAAAGGAGTTATTTTTGCTGTGCCTTTATGTTATTTTTTCTTTCTTTTTCCATTGTGTTTTTTTGTTGTTGCCAAATTTTATGACAAATCAAAAAGAAAATTTTGCTTTATTCAGTCTTTTTAGTTTAGTTTTTCATTCGTTTTGTTTTCCATTTGGTGATGCATCGAATCGTTAAGCTACTTTTGGAAAGTGAATTTTATGTTACACTTTTGATTAGATACATGAAGCAGTTTTTAAACGCTATGTTTTATGTTTGTGGTTAAATGTTAGATATAGATATAGATATATATATATACTGCAAATGGACTCAGTTTAACGGGAAGTAAGTGTATATATGCAGAGAAATTGTTAAGTTATTTCGTTTGTTTGGGAGTGGGGGAGGAGAGCAAATCGAAAATCATTATTTGTAAGAATATAAGAAAACTGGAAATAAAATTAAGTTTATTAACCAAAGGGGAAAAACTGCGACATTTTTTCTAACAGAAGCTCTAGGTATTGCTCACAATTGCACCTCAGTAGAAATGATCATTCAATACTTTAACATTTTTTTCAATATTCAAGAGAAGGAAAATATAAGGAAGGCCAAAGCAATATCATAATAATAACGAAAAAGCGTTAAAATCAAAAAGCGCAAAGAATTATAAGCAATATGAAAAAAAGGAAATGGAAAAAATTAAAAAAGCAGATAAGAAATCAAAAAGAAAAAAAAGAAAACCAAAGTAAAATGGAATAAAAGGCTAAGATTGGAGAAAAACCAACTCTTCCGCATGTGGAAAAGGCATAAATACCACTTCGTCTCGTACGAGACTTGACAGATGCGGTGGCATTTATATCATTTAAATTGATAAATAAAAAAAAACAATAAACAAACAGAAAAAATATAAAGCGAAAAAAAAAACTACGAAAAAATACTGAGACAGAGATAAATTAAAAAAAAAAAAAAAAAACTGGGAAAACTTATAAAATGGGACAACGGCGATAACGTGTTGTTGATCCTAACCGATCAAGTCCAAACAGTGAAAATTGTTCACGTCCTAACCACTTTCCTATGCGAAACCGTGTGTATTTGTATGTATGTGTGTGTAAGTTGAAAGAAACATGATACTCAAAACCAATTCGATTGTGTGTGTATATATGTGTTTGTCATTAGAAAAAGTTTTATCTACTGTTTGTTTTGTTTTGTTTGTTTTTTTTTTCGAAATTTGTTGTGTGTACACCCACCGATATGTTTCTGTTGTTTCTTTGATTTGTGTTTTGTGGCCCTGTACCACTATTCACCGTATAATCGAAAAACTGTTCTCCATCGTATGAACGAAAATAATCATCATAATAAGAATCATTGTATCCGCCCCGATAATCAGTATAACCATAAAGATCGTAATCATAATCTACAAAATTGTTAGACATATGTATTATAGAATAGAACAGCAGAGGTAGCATTAGCAACAGTTATGACTATAGCAGCAACAAGAAATGTATTTATTGTTTAATATATTGGGTTAAAATCGTTAAAAAAAAGAGTTTTTTTTTTGTTCTGATTAATCGTTTCAATCAAATAAAAATACAGAAGAGGTTTTTCTTCGAAGTTTTAGAAACTGTACCATAGAAGATAGAAATAGAGAGAGAGACAGAGATAGAAGAAAAATATACAAATACAGAGATAAAGTGGCAAAAAAACAATAGTTTAAAGTATTGTTGTGAAACGAAACGAAACGAAACGAAACTATAATTTCAAATTAAAAAGAAGATACAGAAAGTAATTAAAATTGAAATGAAAATATCAAAACAATCATTTAATTTCAAAGAAAGAGAATATTGTCTGTTTTTTTTTTTATTATTATTGCAAAACACAATTAACGGTAACGGTTTGTTTTTCGATATAGTTTTTGAATTTAGAGAATTTCGAGTCGGGAAAGAGAGTCAATGAAAATACCAGCACTACATTTATAAATATATTTCAATTGACAACGTATGGTCACTGATTCGTAATTTCGACTTCAATGAGTTCAATTTGGATTTGGTTTTTTGGTTCTTATTATTTTGGTTTGTAGAGAATTCAATAAACCAGATTTTGCTTTTACGACTAAGATCCAATTATGCATATAAATATTTACTTTTGCATAGAATAAAATAGGTTCTACGTTTGTTTGCACTTGCACTTTGATATTCGAGATTTTGATGCTTCGAATGTTTTCATTTCCGTGTTGATTTTGAATAATGTTTGCACATCTTGTCCTAATACACACTCGCAAATGTACAATGTTACTACTTTTGTTTTGTAGTTTACTTTGTTTTTGATAAAAAGGGGATCGTGCAAGGAATTTAACACCATTTCATTACACAATTGATTTCAGTGCGCTAGATGAATCGTATTTTTTTTTGTTCTTCTGCAGTTGCCACACACACACACCAATTTGCACACTGAACAATCGTGGTAAGGCGTTGGGTATTAAATTCATTGCTGTTGTGCGCGAGCAGCCATGTCAGGCGGCTTCATAATTTTTTTTTTTTTTTTACAATGGTTCTTTTCAAAAATTCATATCAATCAAAAATAATATACTCCGTTTGGGCTAGAAATAATCCAAATATCAGGTTCAACATTCGCAATGTGCCAAACTGCGGAAAATCAAACAATCACAACAAAAATCTGAAACTCCAGTTTTTCTATTCCAATCCAATCGAAAATAAAACCAATATGTATATATAGATATGTATCAAGTTAGAGGTCAATAGCAAACGCAGTACAGTACATTCAAAATACTAAAAACTCTCTGATTGATCATGTTTTGTTTTTTTTTTGGTCAAAATTTCGGCTGAAATCATGATTTTTTTTCTTCAAATATTTTCCTTTGTGTTCACCAAAATATGTTTTTTTGACAACTTTTTAGCATTTGAATTGTGTTGTTTTCGGTTCTTTTTTGTTTGTCAATCTCTTTTTGAGTATGTAATTATTGGCCTATTTTTGTTTTTTTTTTTTTTTTGATTTTGTATGGTATGCAAATACATAATAGAAACTTTATTGAGAACATGCAATACGTTATAGTGAGTCTCTTCAATACGGAGAAAGAGAAACATGTTTTTCTATTTTGTTGGTTTTTGAAAGGGATTATATAGCTAATTGATAGCAATTTTTTTAGGTTATTTGATTATTTTCCTATACATAAATAGATTCTATGAAACAAAAAACAAATTAGGTAAATAAAATGGTGGTGTATGTGCCATGTTGTTGAAAGGAAAACAATTGAACAAAAATAGACATCAGAAGCAGCCAGTATTCGAAACAAAATTAGTTTTTCAATAGCACTTAATCGAAGATTACAATAGAACAGAACTAAAATTTGGTATAAAGTGTTTTGAGTTCATGCTAATGGATAGACCCATGTTTATCTATTTTAAGGGCGGGTCAATCATTGAAAGTGTTCAGATCAATATTTCAAATGGGAAAAAAAAATTAACAACAAGATTGAGTATTTATATAGTACAGGTTTGTCTACAGTGCATCACCATAGTTAAACAAAATCTCAGTATTTGTCACTCAAGCAATCGTAGTCAGATAGATTTAGGGTTCGGTTTTCGTTGAACCAACAATATTGCAATATTGATTTCCATATTTTTAAATAACTTTTGGCACATGTAGAATACCCCAGAATTACAAATGATTCGTAAGCAATTTTTGTAATAAATCATAAATAAAAAATATGTACTGAAAATGTGTGGAAAAGAGGCAATGTGAAATCGCACCAATAGCTTTTGGTTGTTATTGGTGTTGTTATTATTAACGAATTTTGGTTGGATTTTGATATTATTTGTTGTTTTCTATTGCAAAATCAATTTCGGGCTTTGAAAAACTACATTTTGATTCTATATATAATGTTTTTTTTAAAATCACAATAGGAAAACAAATACAGAAAAAATGTAGATGGAAATTTGCATGCGCTTCCTTTTTGGTTTTGTGTTTTTTTTTAGACTACAGATATCTAAATGGTTTCTTGTAATGCAAATCAAAATCAAAGCTACCGAATGAGCGGAATTACGTTGGAAACAAAGAAAAATCAAACTAAGGCAATTTCAAACAACATTTTCGACTAATAAATTTAATATTGGTTTTTTTTTTTTTCAAAACGATGCATATGTATTTCAATGTTTTTTTGCATGAATGTGACACAAAACCCCATTGAAAGCGCTTCCACTTGAGCACACGCAATGAAATAAAATTTTGATTACGCTTCACAGCTACGATTGCAGCGATATTTATCATTTTATCCCTCCCATCCTAATCAAGTGTGTCACTTTTGAGGTCACACCTCAATGGATTTTTGGTCAATGCACTCAGCAAGTGTATTTAGTTTTGAATCAGGTTTGTTTATTTTCTCCAGAAAAGAAAAATAATAGAATTCAAAATTGATACTACAACAACATAAATGAACACAAAAAGATTAGGACGAAAATAATTATGAACAATGTCGGAACTAAAACGTTTTTCGAAATAATTGAAAATAGTAATTCAATGAACAAATAAAAACAGGTCGACTAGTCTATGATTTAAAGTGGATCACTTCGTATATTTGTTTAGGGTAATTTACTCGAGCCAAACGAACAAATTTCCACTTCAAATCGCTTTTGGGATTGGGCAATTGATTTTTTCTTCTTCTCTGTTTCTAGATTTGATCAGTGATCGAGCTTAAGGGTGGGATACTTGTCAGTAATAATAAAAACTTGGTCGAAATTTATGCAATTTGAAGCGATTTGATGGTGTGAAATTCGATCTTCTTGTTGGCTTTGTAAAATAATTGTGATGTTGAAATTGATCGTTGTCATAAAATTGAATCATAGATAACTCACCATAATCACCTCGTGTCATTGGTCCCCGCAATGGCACTCGTGCTCCAGCCGGCGCTACACCTATAATTAATGTATAAACACAGCGTTTATAGCAACCGTAAATGTAAACCGTAAATTATCGAGTTACATACCTACGCCTCGCATTGGCGGTAAACCAGGTGGTGGTATCATGCCGGGATGAGTAGGTGACAAGCTTCTGTAATGTGATAAAAAAATATATGGACGGTAAAACGATTCACATGATCTAAATGGTAACGTGGTAATAAAAAGGGTTGAGCGTTACGTTTCAACTAACCCCACGACGCCAGTGCGTCCTTGCATCATAAGTAACATGCGTCGTTCGCGCGCTCGCAATACCTCTTCCTTTTTCTTTTTATCGGATGGTGGCTTTGCCAGTGAAACCTGAATGTAGCAGGAAAAAAACAAAACCATTAGTTCACCAATGAATGCCAATCACTCTCTGTCCAATGAAATATTTCCAATTTGCTATTTAAAAAGAAAAGAAAAACAAAAACGACTAGTTGGACTTACTTCGATATTCGAACATCCTAGCTCTTTGCCATCAAGACCACGCATCGCTAAGACGGCATTGTCTCTGTCCTCGAAATGCACGAATGCATAATCTTTAATTTTCTTAACGCGTTCCACCTTGCCATATTGTTCAAAGCTTTCTTTCAGCTTTTCTTCGCTTATGTCTTGTGTCAAATTGCGTACGTATAATACTTTTACTTTGCTCATTGTTGATTCATCCGGTTCTTCTTGAGGATCGGCCCAATCGACAATAATATCACAACCCCAGACCTGCTTACGAAATTCATCGAATAATTCGATTACGGTTAATATTCATCTATCCAGTGGATAGTATCCACATGTGCAAATGTGATCATCAACAAACCTTAATTCGTCCAGTTCCGAGTCTTCGTTTGGCCAACGATGCTGCCTTATGTGATTCGTATTCCAAGAAACAAAATCCTCGGTTTTTCTTTTTATCGTCGGGTGAACTGTAAATGATCACCTCAACAAGACCGGCTGAAAGTAACAAAATTACGATTAGCACATTTCGAGTGTAACGTCAATGAATCCGCGATAACTTTACCCTATGCTTTTATGCATTTAATTTTGTTTTTTTTTCTCTTTAGTTTTCCAAATCAAATAAAGTTCATGAAAATACATATTTTTGAGCCGTGTTTGTTTTCGTTTTTTTCTTCGGGTGTTTTTTCTTTGTTTCGAGTAAAAAAATTAACAAAATTTATTGAAATAGCTATTTGGTTGTGTATATATGTGTGTAGTTTTCAATGGATTTTCTAATTTTTGCTCCCAATAAACCAATGCCAAAACCGCGTCCTATTCGAAAGCTTTTCAAAAAAAGTTTAATCAATTTAAGAGGTGCTCAATCATTTCGATTTTTGTTCGTGGTAATTTTTCTTCTACCGGTTGGGCAGTTTCATAAGTAATAGACGTTTTGGTTGGTGTGCGGGTTGTTTAGTTTTGTATCATCGATCGATTAGTTTATTTTTGAATGGTTTCGCATGGCGATAATTATGTACAACAACCTCATTGTTTTTAATAGATTTTAATTACAGTGATAATGTGAATCGAATGTGCAACTAACAAATTGGTTCATGCGTTGAATTCAATTCTTTTTTTGTGTTGTTTCTGTTTTTTGTTATGTTCATTCAGTTTAGGATGGTCTGATTACTGCTTTTGGCGCTCTTTTAATTGGCTTTAAAACCTGAAAGAATCGGGCTGAACTCATTTTACAACAACAACCAAATTATTTGTTGGTTACACCTCAAAATAGCGGCACAACGTTATTTCAATATGGTTTACAGAGTTAGCCGGAATATTGGAATAGACACTGAATATATTCGACAGAATAAAAAGAACAGAGTGTTTTATATACATAAACTTAACTAAGTTAAACTTAAGAGAAAAATTGGGGGGGGGGGAGGGGAACAGCATACATACTTCTAACGTTAAACATGATAATGTTACTTATCTATGTAAAAAAAATTGGTTTTTTTTCGCAATTATTTTCTCAATGTTGGTCATTTTTCGAGTAAAAATTTTATTGTTTTGAGTCCACGGTGAGTTTTCTGGGACAAATTGATTGCTTTGGATCCAATGTGTGCAAATTTTTGGTCTCCAGTCATTAATGTAATCCAAGTTTCGAGTGTTTGTGTGTGTGTTTTTTTTTGGGTGTTTACATTTTCGCATTACATTGTGAATGCATTGAGTTTTTGAGTTTTAATTTGGAGATTACACTGAAACAGCAATTGGAAATCTAAAAGTACACAAGAAAAGGTGTCCATTTCATGGGAACTGAGACCTGCTGAAGCAGGATGAAAATGGTGTAGCATCAATAGCTTATGTGTTTCATTTGATTTTTAAGAGCGAACGAATTTCACAACTAGAACAATGTAGTTAGTTAGCATTGGCTAAAACAGTGTATGTGTGTGTTTGTGTATGTTTGTGTGTATAAAACGTAATGCTGTTACCGGTACTTTTCAGTCGTATGTTTATTTCTTCAAATATCGAAGGCTTTTAAAACAAATGTAAACGCATACAAAAACAAAAATTAACAGATGCGAATTTGGCAATGATTTAAATGAAATTGGTAAGCAAAACTAAATACCCAATGAAATCTTTGGTTTTACTTAATCATCTCTTCACTCTATTCGAAATTTTGTTAATTCATTTTTTTTTTCTTTTCAGACGGAACATGACAACCAATTGGCTTAATTGTGTATGTGTATTTCATCTTTATTTTTCAATTAATTTCTCAATCTTTTTTTTTTTAAAAGAACTTTTCAGCTGCGATGAACTACGGCCATACTCAGATTTGTGCCAAATCACCAATCATAGTTATGGATGTGTGCGTGTTTTTTTTTAGAGAACCAATTTTTGTTTGATGAAAATGGGAATTTTTGGTTTGTTTGTTTATTGCTTGTTTTATAATTTGTTTTGTTCATAACTTACGTGCATGTTTTGCAAATTCCTCTAATAATTCGTCGCGATCCCTATTCTTTGGTATATTTCCGACAAATAACCGATGATTATTAAACGATATCGTTACACCAATCTTTTTGCCTTTGCGAATTTCATAATCATTTAGCTGTAAGCGAATTTTTGGTTCGATTTTGATCTTTAGATGGTTGATTTGTTTTGTTTTTCAGTTTAAAAAATGTGTGTGTGTTTTTTTTTTTTTGGTTTGTTCGAAATAAAAGAAAAATTTGTAACAACAAACATATCACAAGTGTACAATAATTTCATTTGTCTTTTGTTTTATTTTTAATGGAATAAGAAAAAAAAATGAAAAAGATTATAAGGAATGCATTCCCTGATTTCAAAAGAAGAAAAATTATATACAAATGCATATATGCGTTTATCATACATGGAGAGGTGTATTGATCATTGAACAAAATCAAAAGAGAATAAAATCAAAATAAAACAGAAAAAACGACAAACGAAACAATCAAAACAATGACGGGAGAATATAAAAGAAAACATTACGCTTAGTTCCAAATAAAGAAATGGAAACCCATGGTCCGGTTTGTGCTATTTCATACGTATATGCAGTTAATGACTGGAGATAATATTAAATTCTATTTCCAAAAAAAAATTATATATATGTCGGTCGACGGAGTGGAAAGCTTCTCCTGCATGTGATTCATCTTGTGCTTTCGACTATTCTAAACAACCGTACCAAACGATCTATCCACAATTCATAGACTGATTAGGTATAACTATATCATTGTAAACCAATGGTGTTATGTTGAGAGTTTTTTATGCTTAATTTTCGAATTTGGTGTATGTGTAGTCACTTTCAGACATTTTTTTTTTCGTCTGAAAATGATTCAGATTTATTGCGAGCTTTCTGGCACACTATTGGGTTGGCGTATACGAATTTAGCAGCCTTAATTTGTTTTCTTTAGTTTTCTTAGGTAATTTTTTCTTCTATCGCCTCTAAATTGTAGATATGAATTTGAACGGTTTGGGGTGGAGGGGGAGAAAGTTGTTCGCAATATGCATTCTTATACGTGTATTTTATAAATCACAAGATGTACTAATATTTTGTTTTTCTTTGAAAAACTTTGATCATGAACTACAATGGTCAGATTTGATTCGTTTTTATTTCAGATTTTTATTCGCAAAACGTCGAATCGAATAAAGGATTTGCTGAATCGAGCTGTTGATGATGCTCCCGCTGTACAAAATCATGATAAATTAATGCATTTTGATCTTTTGTCTGAATGTTTGTCTCGAATCAATTTGTCATGCAAAATTCAGTTGTGCGACGAATTTTGTTAAATTGTCTTTAGTTTTCTTTTTTCAAAAGGAAAAAAATGATATCAATTGAACGTCCGAATTGAGAATTTATATGTTTACATGCATTTTCCTTATTTGATTTTGGAATTTGATTTATATTTAAAAAAAAAAAAAAAACAAAATAATAACGTAATTTCATTTGAAACTTGGTGTCGAAAAAACAAAATTTTGTTTCTTTTTGATTTTGGATTGTGTGTTTGATTCCAATTACCTGTTAGTTTACCAAATTCGTCTAATATCTCCTCTTTGCCTTTTGATTTGGGTATATTTCCTACGAAAAGGCGTAGATTCGGTACGCTTATGTTAATTTTCAAACTTTTGCCGGGTTTAATTTCATGGTTATCGAGCTGCGGGTTTAAAATCAAAATAATAATGATAATAGAAAAAGAAAATCATAAAATTAAGGGAGATGTAAAAAGATAACAAAATGGAATAATTTTTGTTGTTGTTGTTGATTTTGTGTGTGAGTGTGTGTTTGTTCGAAAAATGAAAACAAAAACGAAAAAAAAAACGAATTAGAAATCAAAAATAACGAAAAAGCACAACGAAACAGCAAACGGGAAACAAATCGGAATTTTATGGTTAGTCAATTTTGTTTCTCAATTATGAATTTAGACATTTACTTAAATTTCTGAACCAAATTTTTATTTTGTATCGGCCAATCGGTGAAATTGAAAAATATCATATGCGAAATACATGGAATTCTTAAAATGATGTAGTGCGCCAATTAGCCCACTTCAGCTCTAATAACTCACACTTCACTTTAAAAAAATCCATCGTTTAACACTCAAGTGTGGTTATTGATATATTTTCCGCCTATTGATGACCCAAATTATCGATTGAAAGTCACTTGAGTGTTATCGTTTTATTTCGCATTCAGACCAAAACCGTTTTTTTTTTATTCGAAACATTTAATCTAGATAAATTTCAAGTTGTTGTAAAAACTCAGCGTATAAATCTCAATAGAAATTTAGATACATGGTCAAAACGATGAAAAAGTTAACGAAATAACACCAACAAAAAACGGAAAAAGAAAGAAATAAAAAAAACGAAAATAAATCAAATGGCAAAAAGTAGATTTTTGGAAAAGCAAACGGCCAAATTGTTTTTAATACGGATAAATGTATTAAAAATGTAAAGATGGTCCTGTTTTTTTACTCAAATTTCCCATTCGACAATGCAAAATGAGTTGATTCTGGCTGTCAATCAAAAAGACCCAGCATGAATATTACTCCGAGCTGAGTTCAAAGAACAGAATATCAATGAACTTGTACAAATATCTCTTACCAATACCACGAGTGCACAATTTATTCGCTTGTTGTTATATTTGTATGGTTTTCAGTATAGATTATGCGGCCAAAATGTTTATATTATCAAATCCAGAAAAGATAATCAAACGGTGAAATGATAAGGTAAATCAACATAAATTGTGCGTACGATGGCTGTAAAAAGGGATCTGAAATATTTGTACGTTGTGTTACGGCATATTCATGTTTTGTGCAAAGAGGAGAACTGCACGAAACTTTCGTTTTTTTTCTTCTTTTAAATGTCAGATTATTTTGTTTTTCGTCGTTAAACTGATCCCAAATATCCTAACGTTACCAATTTATTTGATCAAAGTACAAAGTACACAGTGTTAATTATTCCACAAAAATAACAAAGCAATGAACGTTTCATATCAAAGTAGCTTGATCATTATCAACACACTCTCTCTTTCTCTGTCTTTCTCCATTTCTCTCGCGCTGATGTTATCGAAAGTTTGAGTCTCCAAATCATAGAGATGTAAATTTTGAATTTAGATAAAGACAAAAAAGAATCGGTTTAAAATATTATTTACATCTTGGATTGAAGTTGTACAGAAACATAAAATATATGTGGTTTTTAGTTGAGCATTTCGGGGGGCAATATGATGGATGATAATTCTTCCTGTTTTGAAGCATTCTAAAGCACATTCTATTCAATTTTTAATGCCACATCTAAATAGCTACTTTTTCTTTTGCAATGTAAACTTATAACCTTGGGCAAAATGCGAAGAAAATAAATAACAAAGTCCTCTTGTATAAAAACCAAATTCTGAAGGTTATCCGTTTTATCCAATCTTTCGATCAGATTAATTCGGAAGATACGGAGCATTTGGTTTTCAAGATTTTCGTTTCGCACCAATGATAACAACAAAAAAAGCCAAATAATATTGAAACCTTATAAATATAATGTGATAATCTACGCCCAAAAAAAATTCGATCAAAAGTCGGAATATAAGGACTCAATAAAAAAAACTACGCTACAAATATACAGCGTGTATTCCCTGCGCACAATACTTTGACTTAGCGTATTCTATCCATATGCTTTGCATGCGGTTCACGCTAAAAATATGCCTTAAATATACCTTCGACTCTGTATTAAATTATGTATAAAATAAGCGTAAGCGTGAATATGGTATAAACGCAGCGTGCGCAGGGAATACACGCTGTATATTTGTAGCGTAGTTTTTTTTATTGAGGAGCTTTTCGATGAGTGATTCGTGTGAGGCCTTTATTTAAATAGGACCGTCACCCAAATCTATGAAAATGGATATGAAAATTCAAAAAAAGAAGAAAAAATCAACACAAGCGAACTGTTATCGCTACAATGGCATGCAATTACATAGACAAATGAAACTTAAATTTGACACATTTTCTATAGATCTCCCACACTTGGACAGAGATTACGATGTAGAATTGTTACTAAACTAAGACTGAACGCTTTCTTTTTCATTTTTTGCAGTATTTGCGATAATTTTTGAATATTTACGTTATAGATAGCGCGCAATTGAAGCATTGGATTAACAATGTGTTTTATACTCAATATGTCATTCGGTGGGAATTCATTTGCTGCAACAAAGTTAGAAACAATCGAACAACGTAGCTCAAATCAATCATTTGAATGGATTATCTCACTGTATCACAACACGCTTGACAGTGGCTCGTGCATTCAAGATGAATGAACATTTGTTGTTGATTTATTTCAGTCGTTCATTCATGCAAAGCTCACTTTCGACACGGATTCTACAAGTGTCATTTTCTATACGAATATATTCAAAAATATCGAAAATACTATTGCTTCTTCACGATATGTGAAATTTAAATTGCGGTTTGTGTACAAGAAAATTCAATTACCAAATAAAGTATGTAACAAAAAAAAAAAAAATCAAAAAAAACAGTAGAGCACTAGAACTGAAGAATGAAATAATTGGGAAAAAAGTAATACCTCCTTTACAGCGTTTTGTGCAGCTTCTCGATTAGTAAATGTAACAAATGCATATCCACGATTAGTTCCAGTCATTGGGTCCATCATCAAGCGCAGATCCCATATTGTACCACATTTTTCGAATAACGGAATCAACTCGTCCTCGAACATGTCTTTTGGTATCTTTCCACAGAAAACCTCACAACCATTGCCAGGCGTTGGTCCGTCCCAATTTGGTGGTGGGCCGCCATATTTTCTTTGACCTGCAACCAAATTGTACGGTTTTTGTTTTGTTTTGTTTTGCATTCTTTCTTATCTACCGCATAACGATCAACGAACTGGTGTATTATCATACACCCAATGAACGCCTAAAGAAATTAAATTTAGCCAACAAACTCCATAGCAACATACCTGTTGTAACGTCGAGTGTGTAGCCAGTTCGTTCTAGGATTTTTTTAATTTTCTCTTCGTCTGGTCCTTTTGTGTTTACTGTCGTGGTTGGTGTAGGAATACCCTGTTGACTGGCTCGACTTTTCTGTCGATATGTTTTCATAACACCACATAAATATGCCGATTTATTTGATACATGTTCCAAGTTCGATTCGAGAAATTGGCTCAATACGTTTAAGGCACCATCAACAGGAAATTCGCGAAGCGCATCCAAAGCACGTTCGTCTAATTCTACATGGGCTAATTTTCCAGTTTTATATATATCGTCTAATTTGGCTGCCACCTAGAGTGAAATTTAATGTTCGTATCGATAAAATCATTTTTAGTTAGAATTAAAACCAAGTAGGAAATTTGGTATTTTCTTAGCGGCAACTAAATCTTTGGAAGAAGAAAAAAAAAGGAATGAGAAATTTACTCGTTTGTCTAGTCCATATTCAACTAGTTTTGGATAATCTGCTGTCCGCTCGGGTTCACCGTTGCCATCGGTCTTATTAGATGTTGCCATTTCTTCAATTATTTCTCCGTTTCCTTCAGCCATTTCTGTTCGAATCCATAAAAAAGAAAAGAAACCGTTTCAATTTATTACACTTTGACTTAATGGTATTCGAAATGCATTTGTATTCAATTTTATAAAACAATCGGGTGCGATTTTTTCTATTAGAAGAATACGCTCAGGAGGCGTTTCATTGTTACGAGCCATAACATCACATAGCTTATACCCTATCGAATATTTATATTCATTTCATGTCGAGCATTTAAATTGAAAGAGCAAAAAAAACAGTTACAACTATATGCTAAAAGAACTATTGGGAATGTGTATTTTCGCGCGCGGTTCGCTATGACATCATCAACGCCATCGGTGTCCGTAGCACAATACGCACATAATCGACGTAATTCAGGCGAAAAAAGTTGATACAAAGAATACCCAACTAAAGTATATTGTCTTAGGTTATGGTTTCGGTTACGGTCGCTCAATATTTCGTTGCTTGGCGCGTCTCTGTTCAGAGCTGGCAACATTCGGCGCTCTATTTGCAAGTGACTATCGTGCCTTAAAAAAACGAATAAATGTTCACCGTTGCCTTTGTAACTTGTAAAAGGCACATCATCCTCTTTTTTCTGCTAGTGCTGCTGCTGCTGCATTACAAAAAAAAACAGTACACATAACAAAGAGTTCAAAGTGAAGTTCCCTATAAAACGAGACGCAGATGTACGTTAATACGTAAAACATTTGCGCATTTTTGTCGGTAGACGTTTTTTTCTTTCTTCTTCATTTATTTATTCATGTTCCCTTTTGTGTACGCACAGAAACTTCCCTTATTGTGCTCACGCGTATTTCAATAGCCAAACACACAACTAAAAAAAACTTGTTGGTATGAAATGACAATTTCGAGTGTTTCTTTTTAGGGAGTTCGTGCATACTCAAGTTCTACGCACATTCCTCACACCAACCGTAGACGGTGTTACGAGTGAGTGTAGTACACACAAGTTTTTTTTAATGTTCTGATTACACCAGCGTGTACCCTAAAACACAATAATGCAATATTTTGTATTTTAACAAAAGCACACGCACACATACACACGTTGGAAAAGCGCAAATAGCCACCCAAAAATGAGAAGGGAGACAAACGGTGGGCAAATTGATTTGCAAATTGCAGGAACAAGACGTGATTCGCCGTTAAATAACACGCATTAAAAATCAAATATGATTGTTCAATACAAGGGAGAGAATGCGTCTTTTCGTCGGGCTTTACTTACTGCCGAGGTCAATAAACTTTATGTCTTGCACACGTTACAGCACACATTTGAATCAGTCAGACATTTAAACCACTAATCCGGCCACTATTTTGTTTTCAATAACTGCACAATATTCAGACAATAGGATTATGAACTCTCTGCAATTTGCACTGTTTTTCAGTATTTTATCGCTGTTTCTATCTCTCTGCTTTTCAGCGTCACCAAGAGCACACAATCTGGATTTCAATTCGAAAAAAAAAACCATCAGTGTGATGTCTCATTGAAGCTATAAATGAATCCACTATTCGCGCCGACATGGAGCACAGCGCCACTCAATATATGTATATTCAATTTCAATTTCGATTTCATGCTATGCGTGTAAGGATGTGTAATGCCGAAAATAAAGGTTTTTGAACTAGGAAGTAAGCGCACGGTGCAATGAACACATAAATGGTAATGTCTAGCTCCTCATTTTTTTTCGGGGGGACCGACGACAAAATGGGAATGCAATCAATGCGTGTAATCCTTTTGCTTCTTATATACATGAGCGCAATCTATGCACAATGCTCCGGCGCTATGTGTGCTGTACTGTGCCATGGCACACACGCTGCATTGCATGGAAAGGATGGATGGATGGTGCGCGTTGCTCTACTATGTATAAAGAATGGCAAGGAAGGAAAACAACGGTGTTGTGGAGTTGTTTGTTGGTTCAGCTTCGCTCGGTTCGGCTATCTGTGTGTTTTTGCGCAATTCGTTTTGCATGGAGTTGGTGTTGTAGTTTCACTGTTTTTGTTTACATGTCTGTGTTTGGATTTTATATTTGCCGTCTGCTATCTCTTTGCCTCTCATACACACACATACACACGCACTCTCTCTCTCTCTTCGGATTTTTACACGCCAAATATCGTAAATAAATATGCTACAACTGTATAATTCTCTATCAACTGCACCAACACAAATATCTAACGACCGCTATGGTTTGATTTTTTCTTCGTCTGCTCTCTGGTTTCATGCGCTTAGGTTCCTATGCTTTTTTTCTCTTCTTCCATTTTTTTTCTGCGCTATCACTTTATCCATGGAGCTCGGCCATGTTTTCACGAAATGGAATGTGCATGATAAAGCAACTGTGCTCTGGTTAAAGTATATAATAAAAGATTGCAGCACTCTAGAATTTGGTTCCGGTACATACATTGCAACTGCCAATATACTATTTCTGTTTCCTTTTTCCCGTCTGGCATGGCTCGTCGACGTTGTGCACTGGCTTTTTCCATGTGAGTGTGTTCGTGTGTGTGTGTGTGTACGTGGAAAACAATGACAAATATTCAGTATGAAAATCTTAGATAGCAAAGAAAACACTTAGCCACAAAATGTACAATATGATTTTGTTGAATTCGCGGACAAATCGATCGTCAACTATGTGTACACCTTATTTCTCGGAGTCAAGCTTTGGGCACACCGAAATGGAAGATTCTTCGGGGTATAACAGCAACAACAACATAAGTGCCGTGCATTCGAGAACAATGACCACGGCGACAAGTAGTGCAGTTGCGCGAACTTAACTGCTGCTACGAATGTCTGCTGCATTTCGAACACGTAGAAATCTATACATAATGCACGTAAAGCTTTGCATAATTCGTGGCTTCTGTTATGTGCAAATAAAGGACTCAACTTTTTGTCGATTGACTACGGTCGAAGACAAATACCTAAACGTAATTTCCTTATGTCGACTCAACAAAATGAACTGCCATCACACACATCTACCTAAATTGTACGTTAGATGTTTTCACATTTTCAAAGCGACACACATGGCTGCAATATATACACAACGTGGAAAAAAACCAGCGACGATAAAGACGGCGTTAAATTGAAAAACTAAAGAGAGAGTGTGAGAGACACACACACACAGAGAGAGAGAGAGAGACACGGAGAGTGAGAAGAGACGGCTGAATTTTCTATTTCGAATCAAAATCGATAATATTTCGGGACTTCTCTGCTGTCGTGGAACTCTTCGATCAGTCTCGCCAAGTTCCAATGCAACATTCATCTAAATGTGCATGAGTTTTTTTTTTGTAGGAATATATTTTTTGCTTGATTTTTTAATTCGCAAACAGCCAAACAAAACATTTTCTTTCTCGCAGAGACGTTCCAATTTTTATTTCCTCTTACAGTACTCAGTGGATAGTTGCGCGCGTGCAATTCAGATAATTAAATTTTCTGCAATTAAACTTCAAGCGGCGGCGAGAAGATTTGGTTTTTTTTCTTTCAACTTTCTTGCCATCAAACAACAATATAAAATTGGTTTGTTGCACATGAAATGTGCGCCGTTCAAAAGAGAAAGAACGTGGCCTAAATAAATATTTGATTTGGATTCGTTTTGATGCTCTAATAAAATCGATGAGGACACATTTTCTTTTGAAAGCGTTCGCATGACTTGGTCGAATTAAATATACGAAGTGATGATGTTCTTAGAATATGCCTGATATGGAATGCGGCCAAATGTTAAGAAACTGCACATTTGCTCACATACACACGCACACATAACAGACAGCCTAGCTGTTCGATTTATCCAATTTTGCGTTGCTTTTTCGAAACGGAACGTTCGCTCTCTGGCAGCTTTGCACGATGAGTAAGATCGCTCACACATATGAATGCATATCCGTTGTTCAGTGCAATAAGCGCACATATATGTGTACTGCATATGTGTATGGATGCGTTATTGCGGTTGCCACAATGCAATCGTGCGGCGCGCTTCGGGAAGTGAAAAAAGCGAGCGAGCAAGGGAGAGAGAGAGAAATTAAATAAAAAAGAACAATAATGCAATATGTATGTATTAGAAAACAAAATGGTGGATTACATTTCAAAAACAGTACACACTTTGAAGCACTAAAAGGAATCGTAAATGAATTTCAAACGAAAAACCCATTTTAAGAAATCGTTCAGTTTTTACTCGGTTTTTTTTTTGGTTCGTTTTCATTTTAAAATGAATGGCAACAATATCACACACAAAATACATTTCGATTGTGCAGCCAATCGAGAGCCGAATGCATTCGATGCATGCGAAAGCAGGCGGAGTTCAAGTACAGACGAAAATTGAAAATGGAATGCCAAAATGAATGGAAAAAATAGAGTATTTCTTATCCAAGCATTTGAGCTTGTTCGAATTTCACATAAGATCACTAAACACACGAATGTGAAGCTTTCCGTAGGATCTATGGAAGGAGCCACGTGTAAATTATTCAATCCCTTTGAAATATTGACATTAAAAAAATTGTTATGGTGAAAACACGATTCTCTATACGAATATATCCCCTTTATGTATCTTTTGTCAGCTTACATTTTATTTTACTTTTGAAAACGTTCGCTACATGCTCGAATAAATGCTGCTGTGCAAAATATTAACCGGTGTTTCACGGGAACAAAATGAAACAATCACATTTAAATCGCTCAGACAATTTTGTCGTCGACACAAAAGGCTTTTCTTGATGCCGTTGATGTTGTTGTTGGGAACATTGGCTTATTAACAATTGCGATTGATTTTTTTTGCACAATATTCATTTTTTACCTCTGTCTCAGTCAATATATCGTGTTACGTGGATCACCGATCACAGATCGTGGTTTTTTTTTTTAAATATTGACTTTGCGACAGCAAAATGCTTCTTTCATCCGTCGGAACTTTAAATAAAATGAAACGCACAGATATATTCAAAAAAAAGAATAGAAGAAATATAATGGGACATAGAAGCGTTATCACCGCAAGTATTTTTATTTTAGGAATCACTCTTTGTGATTTTCGTTTATGAAAGTCA